CCGAAGATCGGTTCTCAAGATCCTTGCTTCTCGGCACGACGCTGAGGAAGCGCCACACAGAGCTGGTGAAGCTCCTGCTCGAGTTCCGATGCCCGGCAGAAGTCTCGAAACGCTCTAGAGTCCTAAGCCCATTGTCGGGCCGAATTCGCAGGGGTTGTAGGGATCATATCCGCAACTGACCATCTAGGCATAGGACGGTTCGGGTTTAGGCTACGGGGCTTAGGGAACTGAACACGTGAACCCAGCCAAGCAATCAGCGTGCACCTGCCCCCAAGCCGCTTCTCGCCACCTGGGTCTAGGGTTTAGGGTTTAGGGTGTAGGGTTCAGGGTTTTGGGTTTAGGGTTTAGGGTTTAGGGTGAACCAAGGAGCGGACCCCAGACAGCGCGACCAGGGGGGAGTCACTCCGGCGCAGATCCTGGCAGCCGGGGCCTTGCAATTTCCCTTCGTCATGGGTTGGGGCCCGAGACTCCCTGGACTCTATAGACTCCTTAGGCTATAGACTCTAGAGCCCTCGAGCACAACTTACACTCGTAGATCTCCCTAACGAAACAACTGAAACTCCACGAGACGCCCTAAGGTTTTGGGAGGGCTACAAACTGCCAACCGTATCTTGTGGGTTGCTTGTTACTAGGGAAATAGGGCAAAGGCTTTATGGGGGATCCGAGGTACCCCTACAGGGGATATGAGGTACCTCTACTAAGTTATGACAGGCTCGGAGGACTTAGGCGCAGGATAAAGATGCTGACGGCGACACTTCGGGGGTGATTTTGTTTCTCATGGAACGGCATGTTGAGGATCCTTTGAAGCCCTCCTCAACATGTCTGAGTCCCGAATTCCTCGCCTTTGATTTTTGCTTTGCTGAAGCCCTGGATTGTCGAAGTCAGGCTTGTGTCTCAGGAGTTGAGTCGACTAGCTTGTGCTTCCAGCTCCGTGACAGCTTCACCACTTGGCCAGGACGAGCGCAAGAGCCCGTCCAACATGGCCCAGAGTTGGCCCGAGAGTTGGCCCGAGACGTACCGGCAGTAAAGAATCCTGCGTTTGTCTGGGGTTTGGGGTCGGTCGGAGGTCAGGAGGGTTTTCTAAGGGCAGAGATGGCAGAGTTGACAGCAGGTAATGTTCCACCCGTTTGCCGTGCATGCTGTAGACCCAGCCCCCCCTTAACAGCCTGAATAGTTGGACCGAGATTTGCTCCCGTTTAGACGGTCCCGGGATTGGGAGCAAGGCCCGGCAAGCTACAGTAAAGGTCGACAAGGAGTACTCTTACACGGCTTAAAGGGGAAGGTCGTGCTGTCCACCTCACCCGATGGAGCACAGGTCGCATCAGCATCCGACTACGTGGCAATGCAAGATTGTAGTGCAGTGTCCCAGTAGGCTTAAGAGCATACACCGAGGACCAGTCCACTGAAGCGAAGCTTGCATGAAGTTTCGTCATAGTTTGCGTGCATGACCCTGAGCCGCAAGCTAAAGCACCGAGGCAGGGGGGGGGGGGCTATCACTGTTGTAGGGCAACCGCAGAATACCCATGCGTGTGTACACACATAGGAAAAATATTTTTTATAGATGTAAGTTGTAAACGCTGGTACGCGCCAGCCTCTGCACCCGGGCTGGCCAGCATGCGCAACAGTCTTAGGAGGGGGGGTCCCAGGGGGGGGCACAAGAGGCCCAGAAAACAAATCGCAAAGGTGAAGGGCGGTCCCAGAATTCTCCTAGAAAGGGGGCCGAGAAGGGTCAGGGGGTGGGGTCCAGGGAGGGGGGTTCAGGGGGGTTCAGGGTGCAGGGGGGGCGTTTTGGTGCTGTTTGGCGTGGTGGCGTGGTGGAACCCACCTCTCGGCTGGAAAGCCGAAGCGAACACAGACGTGTACGTGTACATACATATCTATATAAATATATATCTATATGTATATATATATATATATACTTTTTTTTTTTATACATCCGCTCGGGTGTGCGGAGACTGGACCATGCTTTGCGGCGTGGTGGTCCTGTGGCTCAATGCTGGTGTGCTTGTCAGCCCCCTCCCTTCTGCTATCGTCAGAATCGTCAGACCACCCCTGATTCCCCAAATCGAGTTCTAGCACTGGGGTAGCAGTTTAGGGGCTCCATGCCCCGAAGCCCTCGACTCAACCCCGGACTCCTCAGCCTCCTCTAGAACTGGAACTTGCCTTCCTCCACCCGGTCCGGGAACTTGTGGCCGAACCTGACAAAAAGAGGCTGGGAACGGGCTGCAGGGGTTCGGGAATCTCCATGCCCAGAGGAGGTCTGTAGGGGCGTGGAAGGGTTGAGTTGTTCATCCATGCACCACAAGGCGCGCCTAAACACGGAACCACAACTGCAGTTGAAGTCTTCTTGGAGTCTTTGTGCAGGCCATGGATGGCAGCGGACGCAGCTTGGAATCCAGGAAAGCAGGGCTTTGAACAGGACTTAGATGAATGTCTGGTTGTTGGAGCACCAGTACCCTGTAAAGCCAGGGCCCGAGCCTGCAAGCACCGAGGGGCCTCTTGTCCTCAGGGTTCGGATGCTCGGATCACTCCCCCGAAGCCTGTTTGAGCGCGAACGACCAAGGCGAGAACCAAAGACGCTCATGACAGGTGAACAAAAGGCGTCCCTAAAGCCCCGAGCCATGTGCGAGACCACGCATCCTAAAAGCCTAGAGGCCTCAAGCCCCGCACAAGATTTCTAGCAAAGGCTTGTAAGTCCCTAAACCCCAGAATAGCCCCAGATCATGCCTGACTATGGTGTGCCGTGTCAGCATGTCGAGAGTCTTTGAAGAAGCCAAGGGCTCCTCGGCCCTGGGAGTCGGAGCGCGCCGGTGGCCGTCCGCGGGGGCAGGCGGCTTCCCTCATCTGTCGACATGGATTACACACATCTCAACACCCCCCCCCCCCCCCAAGCTCCCTAAACGGGTGCAGCATGCCTGCCTGTAAGCGACGTGCGCCAAGACCTGAGAAAGCTCACTTGCATTTCCATCGTTCATGCTCCGCCACCTGCAGACCTCAGACATGCTTTGCGCCCTCCCAAAAGAACAAGAACTCTGAATGGCGTCTTTGCCCTTGTCCTCTCCCATTTTTGGTTGGCTGCATGCGTTCGAGACCCTGGAGCAGAGTGGGCCGTCCAAGCTTTCCGCCCCAAAAAGGAGGACATAGCCCCACACAGCCCCGGCAAGCCCTCAAACGCAACCAGAGACTTGAACAGTGGGCCTGTTTCGGGCTTTGGGGGGGTTTCAAGAGCTTGGTGTGTAGGTAGGTGTAGGTGTGTTGTCTAGATTTACAGTTTGTCAGGAGTTAGGGCAACATGGCAAGGCAGCAAGGCTTTTGATTGTCCACCCCTTTCTTTGGTAGCCCTGCAACTCCAGCAGCCCCAAGATCCCAGAATCCTGAGCCCCCCAAAACCCTTGCCCAAAAAGCGAGCTGAGGCCTTCGCCGCTGCATTATGCCACCACGCTCCAGTCAGTGAGGTCACTACCTCACTACCTCGGACCACGCCTATTCCAGAGCAGTGTAAGCGCACGGGGTGCTTTTTGGGATGCTTTTTGTTGGGGAGTGGCTTGGATTTGCTAGCTGCAGCGAGCCCCGTCTGTCTGAGCCTGTGCCTTAGGAGTTCGACGCAGTCTAAAAGTTCGGGGCTTTGAAGCCGCGGTCCCCGAGGCTGGCGGACCTACTCCCACAGGCCTGCTCTAGCTTCGACTTGGTCCCTCAGGGCATATATGGGCCTTGCTGGGGGTTTGGGTTCTGGGGTGCAGGGGTTCAAGATTCGTGGCGGGCTGGGAACTTCAACAAGACACCCCCAAGAGAACTGCTACCATCAGAAGCCTGAGAATCCTGCATGCTTTAGACTCATAACCTAGACGGCGTTTTTTTTTTTTTTTTGTGTGTTTGTGTTTTTTTTTTTTTGGGGGGGGGGGGGGGGGGGCGCGGGTTCTTAAGGTATCCGTCCCATACCCTCGACCTACCCGAAAGGAACTCCAGGTGCACCAAGTCGTGAAGACACAATAATCAAATGCTACAATAATGACGTAAATACAACTGTAGACCAACATGGCAAACTACATTGCAGTACTATATTGATCAGCGTCTGTGTTACCCTGAAGCCTGCAGGCACGGCGACGGCGGCGCAAATATGCCATGTTGGAGGCACTGCTCATCCTGCGGGGCAACGTAGGCCCCAAATCGATGCGTTCAGGACTTTGAAGGTCACGAGGCGCGCAGGATGAGTGGGGGTTGACTTGTGGTGAATTTGCTGATGTTGCGTTCAAGTACGCAATAGGTGCATAGCCTCAATTGAAGCAAATTTGGCGGTCCGCTGCCCAGATTGAAATTCGGGAGAAGTTCCTTGCGTGAGAAACTCAACGCCACGTTTCGGCCAGTCCCAGCGACGCAAGCAGGATTCAGAAGTTTATTCGGCTTCGGGGAGGCCAAGTCCCCCAAGCTCCTTCCGACCTCGAACATGAGCTTCATTCAGTAGCATTCAGCCTTTAGAGGGTCCTCTACAATGCCCAACTCCCAAAGCACCAAACTCAACCCAAAACCCGTGAGTCTCCGCAGGTACTTGAGGACGAAGAACTCGATGCAGCCGGGCTCTTGGTGCGGCTTCAGGTGGGGTTTTGGGTTCTTGGATGATCTGGGAAACTTGGGATGTTTTGCTGGCTCGTGAGGGCTCAGTCCTTCAGAGATCGAAGACCCAACGCCTAACACGGGTGCACGCCTTTGAATTATAGAAGCCCTGTGGACATGAGATTGCTCAAACTGAAGATCCATTCCGCGGTCATTAAGTGTTCATTGAAACTCTAATTCTTGGTACTGTGGGACATGAATGCAAAATACTTCTGGTTGCAAGTTAGGATGCGTGCTGCTGTTGGTTCTATTTCAGTTGCGGCCAATGGGTTGGATCATTGGATCCACCACCCACCAGATACCCCAGACATAGCACTGCCTCTTGCAGCTCCTTACGTCTGAGTCTGAGCCCATACTTTCCGGGCCTCGGTTCCGATCTCCTTCATTTGATGACCAAGGCCTTGGGTTTCTGGCGGAGCGCGCGACTGGTGGAGTCAAGGGCCCATCTTGCGACGAAGGGATGTTTTAGACCGCGCCAACGGGAACTTCAAAGAACATCGATGAAAACGCATGTAGTGCCATGTATCCAAGGTGAATTCGGAGGGCTGGATGCTTCTTTGTTCTTTGAGCCACGGGGCTTCAGAAATCTTACTAAAGCTGTGCAGGGCTTTTAGCGTTTTTGTTTGAAGCGCCGTGCCACTTGGTCAGGAATTGTTTTCTCTTGTTGCCTTTGTTTTGGCCCTTTGCAACGATATTTGCTGCAGTCGTTGTGCGTCTTAGTTGAGTTGCGAGTTGCAAAACCAACATGGTTCGAGAAAAGACTTGGCTGGAAGAGGTGTCGAATGCATGTTTTCAGTACAGTCGCTCCTCGCCTGCTTGATCCCTGCCTGAAAGGGCTTCGACCCTTTTTTCTTCCTCTTCTTCCGGGCCAGACAGAGGCCACAAGGCCAAACTTCATCCAAGGACGGGCCCAAAGGCGTTCCCTCTGCTACTGAGACCACCCCACGCAGGCTTTGGCTTGTGTAACCTTACAGGCCGCAGTTTAGTTAATTAGGAGTCTTCAAGCTTTGGCTACCTCTGCGTCTTCATCTCTCGTCGCCTCACTTGTTCAATGAGGCGTGGACCGCGCACTCACCTGCATTAAGCCGCACCAAATCCCAAGAGCGACCGGACCCAAAACCTGGAGCACAAAGCCAGAAACTTTGTGCTCAGGCATCAGCTCCCTGCTTCGGTGCTTCTACAGGAGCCCGCCCCTTAGGGTTTGAGAGTGTTCCTGGTTTATCGGGGGTTCAGGGGCCGGTTCACCTCGGATCTCAAGGGAGGCCTCAGTCTGAAGCCTTGGAGCGCCGAACTGGGAAGCAACTGCCAAGAGTCTACCTTGACACCCAAATCCCCCGCAAGCCTTGAATCTCACACTTCTTCCGCGGTGTCGTTTGGGAGCTTGAGGCCTGCGGACTATTTCATCTCACATGTCTGGCAGCCTTGGGACAAGGTGCGGCTTAGAGGGTTTGGGCTTTGGATTTGGGGGGTTCATGGGAGAAACTTCAGGTCTTCAAGGCCGAAGGATTAGGAAGTAGAGCTCGAAGCTGAAAAAGAAGACTCGAACCATTACGGAGCAAAAGTCCCCCACGCAGTCCTACAGAACCCTGTTTACCCAAAGCCCAAGAAGTCTGTGCAAGAACCATCTAAGAATCCAGACATGTAGGGGAGCCCGGGCATATAAGTGTTTGCAGATGCCTGCCTCTCATTGCACTCCAAATAACTGTCAGATACTTGGTTGCAACTCTGCACTCCATCCGGGCCACTGGGCCCTCTGCTACCTTTGAAAACTTGGCCTGCAGAGGCGCAAAGCCGAGATCAGTGGGCGGAAGAGAAGGCGCCCAGATGTGCTCGAAAGGTTCGTGTCGTTCTGACGGCCTAAGACAGCTACTTAATGCAAACTGCTGCACGACTTTCTGAGAATGCAATATCTAGAATGCATATTGTTTGTGCATCCTTCAGGCGAAAGCGTAGATCTTCAGATGCGCAGCCACTTGAAGGCTGTCTTTCCACCCTAAGTCCTAGTCTCCATATGTAAATATAGACCTATTCGTGCTGCTATATGTCTATGTCATTCATATATCATATACCTGTGTGTTTAGACGTGCGTGCAGAGACTGCGTAAGGACCATCGAGTCATAGAGCATCTGATGCCCAAACTGCACCTCCCGGTCAGACCTCTCTGCTCAAGTTCTGGGCGACGACGCGCCTTTTGGCTGCCTTTGTGGAGGTTTGAGTGGGGCTGTATGGGCTTGTTTGCTTGTCACTTTGGGAGTTAGGGCTGCAGGCTTTTTGGGCAGGGTAGGGTCTGGGAGGTAAGTCCGAGAAAATGAATATGAAGATCCAAGGAACAATCCCGAATCCAAGAATTGAGATCTGGCCCAGTCATTGGGCTGATGATGAATGTGCTACGAAAGGACTAGCAAGAACGTTAAGGTACCGAAGGCGGAAAAACATAAGCAGCTCCACTTCCCAGCTGATGCGCACATCCCCCCGAACAATGATAACCTTGAATGTCGCGGCTCAGAAGAGAGCACACCATGCAAACTCCACTGACGACCACTTTGCCACATATGGACATCGGCTCACTCAAATCTGGAGCCTGACCTCTGGCCTAGCTGCATCTGCAAAGTCGGCACAGCTGTCCAGCTTCAGATAAACACGCCGCTAGAAGGCAAAGCTTTGCACACCGACATTCTACAAGCGCGTCAGCCGGGCGGAACTATCACTTTGTGCCTACATGACACATCTCCCAGAAGGCCCTGGCTCAGGAGTACAGGCGAGCGCTGGAGCGAGGGCGCGTTCGAAATGGCTCCCGGGGCTCCTGGGGCATCGGGAGCCCATGATCGCTTCAAGAATCGAGGCGAGGACTTGGCCCTCGGGCGCGAAATGACTTTTATCAAAAAGGTTTGGATTTACCTGGCCTGAAAAAGAAAGGAACCAGCGAGGCAACGCGGGGAATCGAACGGGATGCCAAGCTTGCAGCTCGATTACTTCAAGCTGGTCAAACAAACGCACACTCGATCTCCGGACGACGCAGATTGCGACTCCTTGCGACGGCAACGTTTACTGGAAATTCCCTGTGATTCCAGGACGACCCTAGGTTTGTATGGCCCTGAAATAAAGCACCATCGTGGTTTGTGTCCAGTCAAATTGCCCTGCTCAAGTGCGGCATCTGATGGTAATCCCCCATGCCTTCCGCTTCAAGAACTGAACACTCTCGTCGCGGATTTGAGGTCTAGGCTTAGCCGGGCCTTGCTTTGCAACATGAACCAACCCAAAGTAACCCTCAGTAACCCCAAAGCCCCCAGATGCCAATTCTTCTCATCTGAGGCAAGGCGCTCGGTGATGACAGGCACGCCAATGCCTATAAGCCTATCATGATGACCTGTGAGAGGGAGAGTCGCATGGGTCCAAGCTCGCATTGACGCGTTGCGCAGAATCATCGCCAAGCCCGGGCCCCGAACCCACAGATCCTAAGCTCCACAGCTTGCACATCACCTTGTCAGGAATGGCAAGCCGCCATGGTTTCTGCTCGAAAGCGATCAGGACAACGGCTTGGTGACAGCATGCGCAGTGTATGGTGTCTTTCGGGGCTAAAGCCTGCACTGCGTTTTGAAGGCGGATTTTGCTGGGACTCAGCTGTCAATTTGATCCGAAACCCGACTCCCAGGAATGTAGTACTCACCCTCCGCCTCAACACCAATCAGGAAGGCTCAGGTATGCTATTTTTCAAAGGCTGTTAGGGGAGTGCTCAAGCCTTCTCACATGAGCAGCACTCCCCACACTTCCCGGAGACAACAAGCAGTCAAACAGCCGACCCATCATGGCCCTTGTGAGGAACTCAGGGAGATTGTAGGGGCCGTTTCGGGGAGCATCTTATGCCAAACCTTTAGAGGTACATGCCTAGGGGCACTCATCTGTTAGCAGACCCCCCTTGTGACGGAAGGAGCGGCGGGAAGCGTTGTTAGATCCCACCCGGGCTTGGCACAACATGCGCTGCTGGGTGGACAAGGTGTCGATCTTGGGAGCGGCGGGGGCTTACCGTAGTTTGTAGATGTTTGTAGATGTTTGTAGATGTTTGTAGATGTTTGTAGATGTTTGTAGGGTTTCTAGGGTTCAAAGGGCTTCAAGCTCTAGGCTCTAGGCTTTAGGGTTGGAGCGCGTAAGTCTACAAGGGCGCACCTGGCCTCACTTCTTTGCAGTGGCATACGGAACCCTCGGGCACTGATCCAGGGTGCATTGGGCTCGTTTGCCTCTGGTTTTCTTGCTTGCAGGATCTCTTGCCCAGGCGTCATTGCATGTTTCCGAGTTCACCACTTTCTGGGAGCATACGATTCATCAAGATGGCACGGTGCCCGTTTTGCTGTTCAGGTCCTCTGCCTGCACAGTCCCAGAAGCCATGATGACGTCCTCATACCAGTGCATTGCATGCCCAAGCCATAATTGCGTCAACGTCCATGTAGCCAAGGCATCCATTGCCCAGAGCATTTGCCCATGCCCGCGGCAGAGCCATTTTTAAGTACGTCTTTACGTCCACGTTGCCAGTGCAGCCATTGCTCAGAGCATCCATACGCGGAAGCAAAGCATTTTGTTCGTGCTCAGCTGGATCTGGCCTTCACTTACTTGCCGGAACACACTAGTCCGTGAATATAGCAAGGTCTAAAATGACGCTTCCTCCCGTGCCTAAACCCTAAACCCTAAACCCTAAACCCCCTAAACCCTAAACCCTAAACCGTAAACCGTAAAACCCTAAACCCTAAACCCTAAACCCTAAACCGTAAACCGTAAAACCCTAAATCCTAAAGCCTAAACCCTAAACCCTAAACCCCTAAACCCGTGCGGAAACATCCAATTTTTTCGCGGTTTTCTGCAAAACAAGCATATAATGTTTCGGGAATGTGTTTTCATGGTGATGGCAAAGAAGCCCGCTGCGCACGTGATCCAGCACTAGAGAGTTACAGTATAAGGTTGCTGTGTAGATGAATGTATAGCTCACTCCCCCCTGCTAAAAAAAACAAAGCAGGCGCAGAACCCAGCCATAAGTCCACTCTGTTTTGGGAGGCCTGCGCCCACCGAGGCTGGCGGCTGGACGACATGGGGAACGGGCTTTTGCAAGAGAGTTGCCATGTTTGTTCCACAGCACATGCCCCAGCTAAGACCCACCACTTGGAACTTTCACTGCAGACGAACCCCTCTCATCAGAACGGACCATTTGAGAACTCGGGTGCTGTCGGTTCCTTGCCCCATGGCCGCCCTCCAGTCCAGTTCGGGGTTCGTGCGGTTCCTTTTAGAGCACGCTCGTTTAACCACTCCCCCGCGGCCCCATTCCTGTAGAATCTGCATCCCTAGTCTTTCCTCGTCGAGGCTTGAAACCGTTTACTTTGCTTGCTAACAGCCTTGCAAACTTGCAGGCCCAGGCAACGCACAAGTCCCACAAGTCCCACAAGTCCCACAGCGCACCACACGCGATGACACTCTCTTGTCAGTCCAGCCAAGGACTACGGCCACAAACGCAAACTCATTTTTCACAGTCGCGAAGCCCGAGGCCTTGAACTTATAAACCCTCGTTCCCGGCACCGTCGCCGCGTTTGCAACTCCAGGCTTCGCCACGGGCTGCCCGCCTCAGGAAGCGATCCGGGCCAGCAAGGAGCCGCGTGTTGACCTCTGCTCGGAAGTGGGGGGGGGGAGGGGAGGGGGCAGGGGTATGGGAGCCGGCCTAATTTGCCTCTAGACGGTTCAGAATCAGGCCGAATCAAACCTTCACATCAAGTCAGCAGGGCGGTCTTGATTTGTCCCGGACCTCCCAAAGGCACCCGCTGCATAGCCGGGACTTTCTGGGCCCTCTTCTCGGAGCATGCCCCAACCCCTAGCGTTGATCGGCTCTTGGGCGACTCAACTGCTTCATTCTGCACACCACATCGCATCATTGTTTCTCACCAGCCGTTTAGAGTCGGTTTTGAGTCAGCCGTCTTCTGAGTTGACATCGGCTCCAGCACGTAGGCGTGGCTGAGCCTTTGCGATCGGGATTTCAACACAGCCAAACTCAAACCTGAGAACATGCAGGAAACCTTCGGGACATACCAAAGCCTCAAACCCAAAACCCTGACTCCCGCACTCACGCAGCGAGCGCAAGCCTAGACTCGCTTCGCTTTCCTAAGTCAGCCAACCCTCTATGAAGACCCAGCACCCTAAACCGGAAACCTAGGCCCCAAGGCCTTGACTCGCTGAACCCAAGCCCGGAAAGAGGTTGTTGGGCTGCTTGGGGTTGAGGTTTTAGGCGCGAGAGGTTGAGTTTAGCCATTTAGCCCGAGCTTAAGTATGTTTCTGATTGCTTCTCGGCACGGCGCTTCGTGGCACAGGGGCGTTGGCCCACAACAAGGGGCCAACCAGGCTAAAACCGGCTACGTGGGTTTAGGATGTCCCCTCTCCCCCACCCACCCCAACTCAAACATGAAGAGCCCGAACCCGGAACCCTTATAAGGCCTAATCCCCCTTTTTCGCCTGAGGAGGCCATCGCGAATTGCCACACCTTTGTGGCCCTGGTCAGCCTTTGGCCTGGGCGTTTGATAACTCCGTCCATTTGGGGTTTTAGGGCCTCAAATGTACGGTTTTCGACGGTTTGGGGTTGTGGGGCTTGGGGTAGCTCCCCGGATCGGTCCGGGTTTGGCGTGTTCTCTGGGTTGTTTACTACGAATTGCTTAGGAGCCCCCAAAGATAACAGTATTCTTCCTTATAAGGGTAATCTGAGGATTGTGATTTGTAGTTTTTTTTGGTGTTCTTAAGCAAATAGTAGTTTGTAGGGTATTTGGGGTTAAAGTTCCGGAGGACCATGGGGTGTAGAATGTTCATATTTCATCTCGGGTACCAACGGCCATCACCAAACGCCCAGTGCCTGACCCCGGGCTCTGAAGCCTGGCTCCCCGTGAGTTGAATCTTCCTAGCGACATAGAAGTGCCAGCCCTCCGGAATCGGAGTGCCTCACCTGTGTTTGACTGATTTTGATGCCCGGCCCCCAAGCCCAACTTGCTTGCGTGCGAAAGGGATCGAAAGGGATGTCTTCAGGGCGGTTTTTCATCGGTCTGGAAGGGTGAGTTAGGGCCTTAGGGCTGCTGTTCAGATCTGTTCAGTTGAGCGAGCAGTCGTACAAGGCACCGTGGTAGAAGGCACGCGATTTTCTTCACCTGTTTGGGCTGTTTAGAAGCATTGCGTACTTATATAAGGCATCAGTGCAGAATTGAAGAACGCGCGCGCCCGCGCGCGTGAGGTGAGACGGTGCCTGAGCTTTCTCGATTAGTTCTCAGACCGAATGCGCTCCATGGCCGTTCTCGCTAGTTACTCACGCCGTGAGCCCAAAAAGTTTCGGGCCCAAAAGGTAGCCTTTTGAGGTTTTGTGTTGAGGGCAGGTGTCATCGGACACACAAGAAGCAGATAGAAGTAGCTGTGAAGTTCAGAATTCGGTCAAAATTCGGTCTCGAGCTCCAGGCCACCCTGGCTACTTTCGGCGCCTTTGGTGCTGCTTCGAGCAAGATGCCCAACATGTTGGAAAGATCGTTTCCGCAGACAACTTATTGCAGTGAGCTGCGGGCTTCGGGTGTTTCATTGCATCAACCCTTGAAACTTGAACTTCCAAAGTTGCCTTACTTGCTCGGTGAAATGTTCTTGCAAAGCCCGTGCCAACATTGAATTGAAAGTTGCGTGTGCTTACGTGACTGACAAGCAGTTCTACCTGGGCGGCAGAAGGTGCAAAATGATCCCCCCCATGTTTACCCTACGTGAATAATTTTCACGCTACGCGACCCGCCTCGGCCTGGCCCAGTGCAGCTCTCTCCCGTGGGGGGGTTTGCCTGCACCGTCTGCTCCCACTCTTGCCCCCAAAACATACCCATGCCAAACCAAGAAAAGGCCAGGCAGGATTGAACCCGAAAGGGTGGGCTGCCTGCCTGCCAGACAAAGGGTGCATTTCTGTTCTACGCTGAATGATGAAACTTTGAAGTGGAGTGGGGGCGGGGGGGTGGGTGTGGGGGGTGGGTGGGGGCGGTGGGTGGGGGCGGTGGGTGGGGGGTGTGGTGGGGGGTGGGGGTGGGGGGGTGGGATTTGGAGGGGGGTGCCTGTTCTCACAACCTAGACACTTTCGGCCCGAGGCCTCGGCCGACTTTGCTTTGGCACAGCTTCAATCAAAGACGGCTTGAGACATCTCCAAGCCATCAGGCTCATCTTCTTCGTGGTCCGCGTGGCACCGCATTACCGACAAGCCGAGTGCAAAGCTCAGTTCGAGTGCCAGGACTCGGGGTTCCGGACTTGCGAGAACTCAGGGTCTCGGCATGGAGATATATAAGGCCACATTTGACAATCCTAGGTTTGAGGTGCTCCCTTTGGATAGTTTCAATGATTGCTTGTGGGGTTTATTGGGTCATGTTTATGAGCTTGCTCAAAGGGCTTGAAGGACCAACCTGGCATCAGATCCCTTGCCACTGAAAAGTGAGTCTCCCAAGAGCCGGAAGATCTCGAGAACCCGCGAGATGTGCATCAGTGCTCTCCTTCTCTGCTTCGAGGTTGGCCATGTGCCCTCATGTAGCCTCAAAGCTTTGAGAGCAGTCGAGACCCTCAACACTTGCACAAGCCGGGGATGCCTTTCTCTGCCCCCGATCTCCCACAAGGCTCCTGCTACCAGAAGCCTATTTGGAGCGCACGCCTCGGCTTGTGGTTCGCAGGCTTGGTTTGGAAATGTTCTTGGGGGCTTCTAGATTCCAAGTAGAGTTTTTGGGCAGAACTCGTTTAAGTAGGTCTTTGAGCCGTTGAGTAGTACCACATGCAGAAATCTGAGGCCTAGCCAGCACCACTCTCAAGACTACAGACCCAGGGTTTTGTCACCCTCAACCGCCTCAACCCGAACACTGTCCGCAACTTTAACATGTCTCGCTGAAACTGTTGGAAAAGCTGCAGCAAGCACGTCTTGAACATCTAGGGTCCCTGCCCCCCTCCTCCCCCTGCCTTCCCCTGCCTTAACCTGCCTTCCCCTGCCCCCCTCTCCTCTCCCGTCCCCCCCCCCCCCCCCCCCCCCCCCCCCCCCCCCCCCCAAGGCCCTCGGCGCTCTCCGAGTTGGCCTCGGCCGCTGCGCGCATCTCGCTGCCGTCGCTCCTGCCCCTGGGACCTTGTAGGCTTGAAGCCCTGAACGTTTCAATTGGGCTTGGCTCAACGTCACCTTTCTCCCTTTGAGAAGCGACCTGATGGGGCTTTTTCATCCCTTCGAAGGCCGGTTGTCTGCTTCTTTGGACCCTCTTCCTTTGGGCTGTTTCGATATGACGGTTGTGACGGTATTCAGGTTGCTTCAGGTTGGGAGAAGAAGCTGCCTTCACTGAGGGCCGGGGGGCAAGCTCAACGTTCAGAGCTTCTCAGAGAGATGCAGGCACTGCAGGCGCGCCAGAGGGATCTTCGGGTAAGTGCTACTGAGTAGTTTTTGTTCCCTTGCCGGCCTTCCGGCTCTGGACTTCTTGCGACGTTGCTGCTTCCAGCTCCCTTTGGCATCCAGCATCGTGTCGGGGCCAGCATCATACCAAAGAAGGCAAAGCATGGAATCAATTGTGATGCTGCGCGGGTAGGTTGCTAATGTCAGGGTCGCACCGGATGTTTGGACAAACTTTGGCACACTGCAGACTGCTCGGCTGCGTGGATCGGGGCTTTCCGCCAGTGCTTTTGCCATCTCTTGCCACATCCCCTGCAACAAAAGCCCCCAGACAAACAAGCTGACTGTCCGCTTCCAGCAAGTCCATACTGCCGGCTTGAGGATCCCATCCCTCGCGGAAATGGGATCGGGTCGGATGATAGGACCTTCCTTTCTTCTACGTTCCGCCGACGCCAGGACCACACAGTCGTCGCGTGACGCTTTGCCTCTGGCATCGTTTTCTCATCAGGCGATACAGCATCAGGATGCTCTAGAGGTCCTGCGTCTTCCAAAGCTTGCGAAAGATCTGCGAGAGACGGCGCGAAAGGATCAGCGTGACTCAGTCGTCTCCTGTGGCTGCTCCGCGGTTGTTACCGCTCGCAGCTGTGTGGGTTCCCCGCCCCTTTAGTGGCCCTTCCTCTGATGCTGAGAAGCTTTGGATGGCGACCTACGCTGGCCAGTGCAAGCAAATACAACTGCCGTCACACTGGAATCCTGGAAGTAAGCCATGCTTTGGAGTTGGCGACTGCAGGTCCTGTCTGCCTTGCATTTCCTGCCCTGGCCAGTGTATTTGCTGGCAAATGCCATCAAACCTGCGCGAAGATTGCGAAGAATGAAAGGCTTTTTGCTTTGGCATTGATCGATTTCGCTTCTTTCTTTCGCAGCTCGCATTGTCAAATCCAGGCATGGGCTCCAGATTGCTGACGTACGCTGAAATCTGTTCTACTCTGCAACAAGCAGCCCCGGTTTGCTGAGCCCTTCATGTGTGGATTCCCAATCCGGCAACTTAGCAACTTGCTTGGGCAGCAGGCCAGCGCAGGCGTTAGTATGGGCATCCGCCAGACAGTACTTGGGATTGCCGTTCTCTTCTCGCTTCCACTGCGTTCCAGTTGACATGTGTGCATTTTGGCATGAAGCTCCCAACTCGCATGAGATAAGGGAGGAACTTTGCGCGTCAGGTCAATGAGAAGGGCTTCGAGAACTTCGTGCGGTCTACGATGCTGGCCCTGCTAGGGTGCAGCCGCTTTGGGGGGGGTGGGGTGATGTTGGCTAGAATCACTTGACAGCCTGGATTTGAGACAGAATGCTTTTCATACCTTGACATGCCTTGACTTGACCTACGGCCCTATTCACAGCTTCAGTCCCTTTGTCGAGGTCGATAGGATTTTAGACTCTTTAGTCACTTCATGTCAAGAACGACCACATTTGTGTGCAAGAACCACACAGATCATTCCACGAGGGTACCAAGGAACACCTCAGTTCAAGGGGTACACTTCCCGCAGACGCATCTTTCCAGCATGAAGTCTACCCGCATCCATCGAAAAGCCGATGCATGGACAAATTGACCAGTGCGGATTCGCTTTTGTACCTTGAAGAGGGCTCACAGGCGGCAGAAGTCCTAAGACTTGGAGCCGCTACTAGTGCCCCCAATAAACCTCCGGATAGAGTGGACTGGCCCTCTTCACAGGCTGTCCGTCCTCCTCCGCTGTGCAGAGGGTTGTGCAGCCTTTTCAGGCCATGGGGTGTAGCCATCATGCAGACAGAATGATGCCGGGATATATGGGCAAATCGCAGAATTGAGGTTGTGTCATAGGGCTTCTCTCAGGCTTATGGACGTTTCGGGGGCATACAGGGTGGGGGGGGAGCATCATTCATTTGCTCAAGTTCAGCTGAGTTCAGCTGAAACCCGACTTTTTGCACACCTGCAAGGCCTACTAGCTCTTGAGATTCCAACCGCTGCTCCTGAAGCCTAACCCTGACAATCCTGAGTCATAGTTCGCCCTATAGCTCAAAAGCCTTAAACCTCCAAAAGCCCAGATCCTACCTTGGGCGGCTGATGCTCATGATGTTCGCCCATCGGATGCTCATGACGTTCGCCCACTTGGCCTTGAATACTGAGTCAGCCTGGGCAGCTGATGCTCGTGATGCTGTCGGGGGCCTGGGCAGCTGCCCGGGGCAGCTGATGCTCATGATGCTAGCCACTTGGCTTTGAATGCTCAGGGGCTGGGCGCATCACTGTTGCTCACACGGGGCCTTGAATGCTGAGGGCTTGGGCGGCTGATGCTCATGATGCTCGCCCGCCCGGGGCAGCTGACGCTCATGATGGTTCGCCCACTTGGCCTTTAATGCTGAGGGCCTAGGCAGCTGATGCTCATGATGCTCCCGCCGTGGCTGGGCAGCTGGTGCTCGCAACTACCCGGACCCTGTGGCCTGTGGCCTCCTGCTTCCGTCACGGGAGGCGGAAACCTCGACGCGATTGCAGAGGCCGATGCCTTGCTTTTCTGTGCGTGCGTGGGTGGGTGTCATCAATGCCGGACGACATGCCTCTAAGAATGGGCCCTTTGCAATGGCACTCGTGGTACTCCGTGGTAGTTGGAATAATGGCGTTGTGCACTCACTGCCACTTGCCAGCAGCACTGAGACCGAGGGCCTAGCCTGAATGAAATTATATGGGATCCTGGATTCTGATGTAACAAGCGAAGCGGAGGCCTGACATAGCCTGCCCCATGCCCCCAAACCACCTCGAATGGATCCCTACACCCCGAGACCCCAGAAGCTCTTGAGACCTGAAGAAGCAATCTTCCGAGGCCTGCTGGGATGCCGGCTTGCGTGGGCACGGGTGGCCCAGGGGTGTGGGGTTGGTGTTTGGGGGGGGGGGAAGGTTGGAGGGGGAGGGGGGTAACACGCTTCAGGAGATTTACCACCGCATCATTGACTAGTGGCCTGGGGCACGGAGAACCTGTGATATCCCGCAGTCCCAGGCTGAGCAAAGTCCTCAGCACGGCGATGCCGGGCGTGTGGTGGCGCACGGCGTCGGGTGCCTCAAAAGTCTCGGAAGGCTGCCAGGTGTCTGGAGCTTTCGTTGAAGTTTCTGTTGGGGGCCTCTTAGGGGTTGTGAATTTCATTCTATAAACTACAACAGAAACATGATTCGGGCTTGCCCTCTCGATTTATGCTGCAACGGGTCAGACTTTTACAGGACTGAGGGTGGTGATTTGGCCGCTGCATAGTCGCCGTTTCGAATCACAGCAGACCAATTAGTCTGACTTAGCTGGTTGATAAAGCCAGAACCTAACTATGTCTTCTCCCCACAGATCCCTTAAAGACCCTAAATCCGAAGCCGAAGCTCCGCCAGTGCCACAGCCTTGAGGTTTCGTCACGTGCGCCGGCGTGTCGTCAACGAGAGGCACCACAAAGAGGAAGCGCATGGAAGCGCATGGAAGTCGCTGCGCGCGTCTGTCTCCAGAATGTCACGAAGGGCGCTTTAGCCTTCGGGTTGAAGATGGGCTCTGGGCTGTAGAGAACTGCGGCGCTCCAAGAGAAGGTTATAGGGAAGCCCAGAAATGCCCAGGGAAGCCTTAGGCCCTCTGAGATCAGAGGCTGAAGCTCTTAGAAAGCGCCCCAAAGCCTTGACGGCCCCCAATACTTCGTCCAATAGAACAGAGAGCGCAAGTCCGAGAGCTGTCTTGGGATCGTCATGCTGTTGTGCCTTCGGTGCTGCAGGGCTGAAGGTCTTGTTGATGGTCATTGGGTCTGTGAAGGCTTTGAAAGGGCTTCAGTTGTTTGAGGACCCGCTGGCCCGGAAAGACTCCTTGGATTCGGTTGGAGCCTCAGCGATGTGGAGCTTAGGGTTCTGGTGTTCTGGGCGCAGGGCGATTTTGGATTTTGATTTGGGTCATGGTTGAGGGTGTGGGGCGCTGGGTACTTAGGCTACTTACATGATGCAATTTGCATTGCGCATCTGAATGTGCAGGAGCTTTATGCCACCCTGTTAAACTCTCTCTGTCCCCCTGGGAGAGGCCATGTGAACAAGACCCCTTTGAAAAGACGCCCTGCTCCACAGGCTTGGCTGTGGAGGTTTCGGTGCTCAAACAACAATTTCTAGACGGCACCCTGGAATCTAGTCGGAGAAGCTCAGTATTATTGCTGATATTTCTTAGTTATACTGTATACTCCTGTTCACACTTTTATTGCGATTGTTATAGGGTTCACGCTATTGAGGCAGCGGAAGGGAAGACGCCTCACGCTTCTTCATCATCTTGCCCCAGAGAACTCAGCACAGCCACATGGCCCCAAGACAGGTCGGTAAACATCCGCACTGAAGGCCAACACCCGGGCCGAAAATGGCTAAAAACACCAACCCCTGTATTCCAAACTTCTACACCCTCGAAGTCCCTTGGCACATACATCCCTTCACCCTATGGAAGCCAACAACAGCAGCCCCTCCACCGCGGTTCAGGAGGATGATCGACGTGCAGAGCATGATGTGAGTTCAGGCTCTGCAAGATGCATGCCACCCTTACACATACTCTACACTTCCTTTGCTTCCTAAGCCATGGGGAGTACTAGGTTCCGGAGTGCTCTCTGTTTTGCAGGCGAAGGGGAGGTCGAGGAGGAGGATCCTCTGGAGATGCCTGGTCCCCGGGTGATCCGGGTGTGTGACGGCGGGCGGGAAACTGGGCCCCCAAGTGCGTCTGCACTGGTTGGGAACCAGCTGTCAGGCTACTAGGTCTTGACACACACCCCATGAAGTCGGAGCCGAGGATGAGAGTAACTCTCCTTTTCCAAATTGACCTTCCGAGGTTCTCTGCGCAAAGGGGCGTAGCCCATCTGGGGTAGACCATGTACAGTCACTAGTCTGCCGGGATTGGGGCTTTTGGGTTGATGGGATGTTTCACTTAGCCTGGCCTCTTCAGGAACTCGATCGCGAGCGTTCCGCGCAGCCCAGGCTCGCCAATTACGTGAATCAGAAGTTCTTCGGAGGAGCGAAACAAGCCCCCGAGGCCCGGACTGGTTTGTCGTGGTTTAGGGTTTAGGGTTAGAGTTTAGGGTTTAGGGTTTAGGGTTTAGGGTTTAGGGTTTAGGGCGGCTCGGGATGTTCAAGCCCTGCCATTCGGGGTTTGGGATCCTCGCGCCGCCCTCAGAAGTAGGGATGGTGTTTTTGTTCAGTCTCCTTGTGTTCCTTTTTGGTTTGTGCATCTGTTCAAGGGGGTGTCAAGGTCTCCTACGACCCAAGGGTTTCGAAATCAAGTCTTGTAGCAACACAGCAAAGGCCTTGGGAACCGAGAAGTGGAAGTGCCCTGGAGTTTGGGCTTCGTCGATGCTCCGTCTGCTCAGTCTTTCTTGAGTTTCGTTTGCTTGCACTTTTCTGAAACAGCGCTGTGAGGATTGCTGTGCGGGTCGAGGTCCCGTTCAGAGATCCGACAACTCGAAGGTTGAAAGCAACCACTAAGCTACACACACCCACAAACTTGAAACGAGGCTCGAAGCTAAGAGGCTCGAAGAGCCAGGCGCATGAACACCATCTTTTTGGATTCGGGCTGGAGGAAGTGGAAGAGGAGGCATCGGAGGAGGACTCCCCAAGAAGAGGGATCTCCAACTTCAAGATTTAGCAGAACGTGTTTGTGGGATTTTGGAGTTCGTGGAGGCTCAGGGCTTGAATTCTGGGCTGCTTTGGGCTTCCTGTTTGAGGCATTCTTGGGGGTTCTGTGCAGTGTTCCGATGCCGACCTGCTCTGCGCTGCTGGTCCTGCTGTCGCTAGAGAGTCCTGCACCTCCCTTCTTGGACATGATGCGGTTCAAGATCGTGAGTTTGCCCTGTTAAGATGGCTGCTTGCCTTTCAGCTCCCGGACCCGTGGTTTAACCGGTACTGCAGCACCCCAGGAGGAGAAGGAGCAAGACCCCGTGATTGAAGAAGGCGCGTGGAGGGAGGACCCCAATTTTTGTCGGGCATTCAGCGGTTCGACTGCACTACCTGTCACTACTTGTCTCCATGTCCGACATGTATGTCGGCAGTTTTTGCATCCATAATTACTCCATGCCCTTGCTACAGCCCCCCAGCCTCACTCAGGACCTGAGGCCGAGCTACGCTAAACCCCAACTGCGGCCTTCCGTAGACTCTGATCCGACCTTGTCGGAGGTGGGGGCCCTGAGCCGCATGTGGAGGGAGAAGAGGACTGGTGCAGGTTGTGGCTTGTCAATTGCTTTCCGCACTGCTTTTGGTCTGTTGCACAGGACAGTTGTTTTCCGATTCAGGGCTTTTTGCTTACACCTCTCCACCTGCTTTTTTCGGCGTGAGCTTCAGTTCTTTTTGAGAACCTGTGTGTGTGCTGGGCTCACTTGGGACTGACAGCTGAGGAATTGAATAGGGCCGACCGGGATCTTGAAGCCTTTCGAGCCCCAGAGGCTCCTTCGTGAATTGCAAGTCTAAGCTCTAAGCTGGCCTGAGCTCTTCTCAGAAGGATCCTGCAGCGGAGCCGCGGTTGGGAAGCCTACGATGCCATGCGGTTTCAGGGATGGTGTAGGGAGCCACGGTAGGCCACCCCCCTCCCCCCCCCCCGCCAAACTCCAAATTTGCTTGCTACGAGATTTGGGCTTGTAGGCTTCGGTCCCCAATGGCATTGACCAGTGGAAGGGTGAGGCAGGCTGCAGGCTCCGGAATGCCAATCCTTCCTCTGTCGGAAACTTTACGCACAGCAGCTCTCTTTGCGACGGAACCGGCAAGAAGGGAAGGCTTTCTTGAACCGACCCTTAAAACCCCTCGACTCCCCCCTAGACCCGAAGCTGCCCATGAGCACCCAGGTGCAGTCCGCGCGAGGCTGGGGAGTTCGCGGCCAACTTCTGCAAGGCCTTACAAACGAGCGGCCCTCCCTTCTCAGTTACAAATCGTTACATCCTGGGGATCTCGGAGTTGGGGCGTGGAAGGCTCATGGTGTGGGAGCTTAGCATTAGAGATTCACCTTTGAGGGCTTGGATTCGTAGAATCAAAGTATTCCAGGGTTAGGACTTCGGGTTCAAACCGCTAGCACTCCTTGGCACAGTCCTTCCTTGATTTTGCAGGGCAGTGCGGGTCCTTCAAGATGTTTGTGACTCATGCTTTTCCAAACTTCAGGATGTCCGTTGGTTCAGGGCCTTCAAGATCTGCGACGCGAAAGCTCGCTCATATCAGCGTAGCGAGTTCTCGCACCTGAAACCGGCTCCATGTCCATCAACCCGACAAAGCTTCGTCTCTCGGGACCCAGACGAAACCCGAGCCCATACGGCTACCCGAGTCAGCCTGAGTCTTGAATCCATACCCCAAGTCCTACGGCCCTTGGCACCTTATACTCCTGTTTAAGGAGCCAGAATCTCAAATCTTGTGCCCACGAGCTCAGGCGGTCGCTGCGAAAGTCGGGCCGTCAGAGATGGCTCTGGAGGCCCGATGCCTTTTTCAGTTTTCTGGGTGTACGGATCAGGGTCTCCAGTTGGCTTGGCGGGTTAGGGCTTCCATGCTTGAGGATCTGAAGCCTGTTCTCCTGCTTCCCTGCTGCGAACCCTACCTAACCACGAGGAGGGGAAGTAGGGTCCCGAAAGAAGTTGCTTCAAGCCTTAGCCTTGGGGCTCAGGGGTCCCGAGAACTCCGTAGACAGCTCCCTGAAACACTGACGCGGTTTTTCACCACTTGTGATTGCTGCAATGCTGCAACAGCCCCCTGAAAACCCCCCCCCTCGTGGTGCCAGTTCGTACGCCGGCTGAGCAACGCGGGCACGCGGTTGCCTTCCCTGATCGAGGTGGCCGAGGGCCCAGAGACTTTGTTGCAGCCCATGTGACTGCACAGCATGAGAGATCGGTGGGTCCTTCGAGTTTCCTTTCTGTGAGGTCCCGAGGTATCAAAGAGTGACGAGCCTTCGTGGTCCAGTACACATCCGAGGGGTTCCCTACATTTTGAAGTGCTCCTGGCCCACGAACACGCAGCAAAGGAGCACTGTGCCTTCCGAAATGCAAGGGTCTCTATGGGGCGGGTTTATGTGGGAGTAGGGCAAACATTTGGATAACAGCATAATTCCTTATTCCTATTTACAGTCAGAACCTTGAGACTTCCAAGCTCATAATAAGTCGCCCTAAAGCAGCCCTACGGGCTTTCCCCAAGCCTTAAGCTCCGCGCAGCAAAACGCCTGCAGACTGCAGTACTGTGTGACCGGAGGCTTCAGAAGACACTGCTGAACACACGGCTACAGGCCCCATTTTGCTGAGTCGTCTTCGTTCAGGTTTGCTCAGGTGGCCGCCTTGGCGCAGCTTCTTTCGGACTCTCAAAGGTTGCAGGGCTCGGGGTCGTGAAACCCTGCGTGCTACACACCTGCAGTACAATCTGAAAGGAAGCCTTCTTCGGATGCTCGCTTCAAGGTGTAGCAAACCTGTGACATCCTGGCCGTGTGCAGCCGGTTGAGTGAACTCCGACTGTAAGCCCTTAAGCTTCGACCTCTGTCCGTTTTCCCCCTGTGAGCTCTGAACTCCCACATGTTTCCCTAATATCCCTCTGAAGGTTTATAGGTCCTTTAGGTAAAGCGCCCCAGAGCAGCAGCGACGGAAGGCCCGGAGATGGACGGGATGCCCTCACGCGGCCAGGAGGAGCCTGGCTCCAAGCTTCAACCTTCGCTCCAAGACAAGAGGGGGGGTTTAGGGTCTAAAGCCTTTTCTGACTTGAGTACTTATGGGTTGAAATTTGGCTGTTTCATCGCTTGAAGGTTGGATGTTTGGAAGCTTGCGGGTTTTGAAGAGTTCTGCTGTTCACTAGAGGACCTCAGTCCACCGCTGCTTCTGCATTCCAGGAGCAGTGAAGAGGAGCGTAGGTTCAAGTGCACATCGGTTCAAGCGCGAGTGGGTGTTCCCTTATGAAGTAGTCAGAGATTGGATATCAAGCCCTTTCACCCCACGCGACACTCTGAATACCTGGACCTTGCCACGATGTTCGCATCTCACGTACTTGATTCAGTCCAATTGGTCCAAGCAAGGCTGATGGCCTGGGTCTTGTAGATGCTGGCGACTGAGAGCCTGTCTGAGGTCCAATGCCTGGAAATGCGTGTTGCGGGGAACCCAGTGTGACTCCTTTCAAGCCTCAAGCCATACACAGAACTCTACACCATCTGCAGGCCTGAAGCCGTGCTGTTGACAGGTTAAGCCTGAAGAGGGTGCGATGATTGGCAGTTTCTTTTGGGTATACTCTGTCGGGCTTGTGCTGTCTCAAGACGGGAAATCAAGAAGATCGATCTCCCTGACAGCTGACTTTGCTCTTGGCGGCTTTCAGGACAGCTGCATTCTTGTGCCAGCTTTCACCCCCACCAGTTGGCTTGCCCAAACCCAAAACCAAGCCCACAGCCCCCTGGACCCTGCAAACCCCATAACCCTATGCCCCAGACCCGTAGTTAAGCAACCAGAGCCCCCCCCCCCCCAAAAAAAAAAAAGCAACAAGAAAGAAGCCCCCCAAGATCGCAGTAAGGGCCCGGAGTGGTCTCGTCGTCGCCCCGGGCTTCGATGACTTCTGGCATGGGGCCGGGGGCCCGGGGTCCTCGCAACTTTTGGGGGGAGAGGAGGGGGGGAGGGAGAGGGGTGTTACGAGGCCCCCGCTTCTGGAGACCGCCCCCCCTTTTCATCAGCGATTGGGTACCCTTGTTATTCGGGTCCTCGGGGGGTTGAAGGTCTCCGATTTTGTTGACCCAAAGCTCCAGAGAGGGAAACGATGCATTCTGCAGAAGAGTCGGAGACAGCTCACCAAGTCAGCAGCGATGCTGCCGAGTACTGAGATTGTGGAGACGAAATACTCGTAGCTTGAGCACAGCCTATATCAGGGAGCTGGGCGAGAAAAAAGGAGTTCGGGGGGCACCTCCGTAGTCCCGACGCTTTGGCCTCGTCCAGAAAGCCCCAAGGTTTGCTAGAGAGGTTTATCAGGCTCATGATCTCCGCCCGCCAGTGCCGTGTCCTTTGACTGCCAAAACTCCGATATTCGAAGTTTCAATGGACCCCCCCAAATCTACACGCGTACCTACGGTGGCCCTTCAGCATGATGAGGGTGTCGGTGGCCCCCGTCCAGGGCAAAGCAAACTGTCTCCTCGCAGGCGACGGGCGAGCAATTGGAAGCAGACACGCGGGCCTGCGAGCGGGGAGTGGGTCATGACTGGGCAGGCTAGAGTGGAACCCAGGTGCAGGAGAAATATGCCCAGAGATGTGGAAAGGAGTGCTCCAAGCCCTGAACTCTGCAACCTGAACCCTTTCAACAGAGCCTAGAGTAAGGGGATGATGGGTGATGTTCGTGGTGCAAGTGTAAGTGTATGTGGACGAGTGCAAGAGTGCACGAGTATAAAAGTGTAAACGAGAAGGAGTGGGAGCGCAAGTGTATAGGAAAGTGTGTGTGTGTGTGTGTGTGTTGCTGTTACGGTTGCGGTTGGTGTTGGTGCTGGTGTTGGTGTTGGAGTTGGGCACGTGACCTTCAGGGCTTGGGATTCAGGATGTTTGCGGGCGTTATCTGCGGATGTTGGCGCTTTCGGGCTTTTGGTGCTACTTCAGGTGTGGTGCTGCGGGTTTGCTAGAATCAGCTCGAAGAATGGAGACATCCCGCCACCGTGAAGGTACACTCGCACTCCGTCTGGGGCTGGGAACCGCAAAACCTTGGCAGAACCCTGGAATCTTGAAACCTTCTCTGCCCTAATTGGGAGAATCACGGACTACATCTTCGAGTTTTACGCCGGCCACCAGGCGAATGCCCGAGTTTTCTTCGAGTCGCCGCGGGCCGAGTTCCGACATCTCAAGCACCCTGAGGCCCAGGACCCCATCGTCTCTCGTCCCCCTATTGTCAAACTCGGGGTGTCCCTATCAAAAGGGATCTGGGGGGGGGGGGGGGGGGGGGGGGGTCTTTAATATGAACAGGAGGATGCCCGCAATCTCCAGAGTCCACTAGTAGGGCTGCATGGTTCGTGAGGAGTGTATCGGGAACCTTCCGCGGCGGGAAGCATGGGGGGAGAGCCCGAGGTGGCAGCTCTACCGCCGCCGTGTTTGCAAGTGGCCGCGGTCTTGGCATGATACGAGAGTTTAGGGTTTTTAGGGTTCAGGGGTATACGCATGATTCAGGGGTTCAGGTCGGCCAGAGGGGCCTCGCGGCTCGTTGAGCTTGGGTCCAGGAGTCAGACACAACATGCCACAGGGAGATCAGCTTGAGAGCTCCCTTGCAGGAGTTTGTTCCCACCCCTTCAGCCCAAGGTAGCATCTTCAGAAGCGCACCCTAATTCGGGGACCCAAGACGCCCGCAGACATCTTGCACTCTTCTACTGCTGTTGGCCTGAAACCCCTCCTCTCCTGCAGAATACGCTCAAAAAGCCTCGACAGTTCCCCAAGCCTCCGGAGAGCCCCAGCGTTGGTATCGAGGTTCGACAGAAAGGTGGTCCCGCAGCTCGAGGTGCAGCGTTCCGAATTGGGGGCCGTGGGGTTATGGCTTTGGAGAGATGTGCGGAGTTCCCAATGCCGCAGAGTCACAAACCCTCGCAGCACTCCTGCCAAGACTTGACGGCAGGTGTGGCGACAGCGCGGCGTGAGGAGACTCCTTTCTTTTTGTGGGGAGTTGCAGCAACCAACGTCGAAATCTGACCGTTCCAGTGAGTCCCTGAATGCCACACGCAGGACCAGCGGCGTTTTGGAGGAAGCCTTTCGGGATGTCTTCCTGCAGGCCCAGGGTTCCAGTGCTGGGCAACATGATCCAAGGAAGCGTGCTCACCAGTGAAAGCCCCCGATGAAAGAGTCACAAGCCATGCGTCTTACCTGTTTCGGTTCCTTTAGGTGGGTGGCTCCGTCCAAGACGACCTCCACCGGCAGCTGCTCTCTCCAAAGGAGGAGCGCAACTCGAAATCTGTACCCACAGCTCAAGCGCGCTGTCATCACATCCAAGACCTCGCAATGCCGCAGTACGTCACAGTACTTCAAGTCACGAGTCTGACTAATGCCTGTACCAGTAGCATACTGTAGAGCCTCGACTCCACACCATGCGCAAGCTCACTTCAACAGCCTGCAAAGCGTGAACGAGCCAAAGTCAGAAGACCATGCGCTGCCGAGGAGCCCAAAGAGATGGTAGAGCCCGGGCCCACGAGTGGAAGGGCTTACCTGAGGGGCTTTTGGACATCAGAGCTTCGAAGGGAAAGCTTGGAAACCAAAGTTCCATCCAGCCTTAACGCCACCACCACCTGCCTGAGGCTCTTTGGATTGGGCGTGTGCTCGGGTTTGCAAGGGTCCGATCGTGGCAGGCTGTTTGGCAAGCTGCGCAGCTCTGTGAACGCTTGTAGAGCAGCTTTGCATTTCTCTGTGCCCTATGCCCCGCAAAAATGCAAAAATATTTGAAGGTCAAACTTCGCCCCGACCCGCACTGAAGGATGTTGGAACCTTGTCAAATACGGGGTCCGGGCAGAAGCAAGCCCAAACCCCACTTTGCTTTTGCCGCAACCTCCAACCTCTCAAACACCCTTTTTCAAGGCAGCGGCCTGCCGCGTGGACGAACCCGACACTCGGACGCCTCCTTGTCCGGACACCCGGACGGACACACAGGGCTTCGGCCCTACATTCAATCCACCATGGGCTGTTCAACCATTGCGTTGGCAAGTTCGTTGGGGATGAGGGGCTTTAAGGAATAGTTTAGCTTGCTTTGGGTTGGCAGGGATCTGGTTTGTGTAAGTTTGGGGATGCGGGTTTTGGGACCAGAGCGATTGAAAGGGGTTCGTGCTCTGCAGGCCTTGAGTCGGAAGAAGAGCTGCATGAGTCTGCGTGAGGAAGACCTAGGAAGACCGCCTCATCCCTGAGTTGTGGGGGCTGAGGGGCTTCGTATAGAAGACACTGGACGGCTGGCTTGGGCTAGGGGTGTTGATTGCCAAGCCAAAGCCGGATAGGATTTCCGGACCCTGGGAACCCAAACCTTCAGCTATGGTGAGCGGTCACCTCTTTGAAGCTCGGAGGTCCTTTCGCGGCAGCAGAAGACTTTCAAGAACCACGCGAGTGCGCTCGGAGGCTCGTATGGTGTAGGAACGCTGCGACTCTGGCATGGATCGGTGTCGTAAACAGGGTTCGGCGCTTAAAGGTTTTCTAAGGGCAGCTACGCTGTATATGGCCCCTTACCTCCGTTAAAGGGTTCTGAAGTATGGGCCCCTGTGTTGTATAGGGTGTACAAGCGGCATACAAGGAGGGATAAGCTTCAGGACTTGGAGTCCGTGCGGCCCGGTGTGAGTTCCCGGGCCGGGCAATGTACAAGCAGCTACGCTTTTCTTCGTCGCACCCCAATCTTCCCGAAGCTCCAGGTGTTATGGTCCTTTGTTGAGGGGCACGGTGTTGGGGGATCCGGGGCTACTTGTAGGCTACACCACGTCACCACAGCTACAAGTCCCCAGCAAGTGGCAAGTGACAGGCGGTGCGGACGCAGAGGCAAGAGGGCTGATCTGGGGAGCCTTCTACTGAAGCCCTCAACCACTAAATGAGTGCTTGAGGATAATTGGGTGTTTCGAAGCTGCGACCAGTTACGTAATGCAATGGGAACATGTGCATGGGTCTGGCCACAGACTTATATAGGCACGTTTCGGGAGGCTTCCTTCTCTGATGTACCCATCACATGAGTCTGGAGAATGAAAATTAAAAACTACGCTTTAGGTACCGATGAATTAAACGCACTATCGTTGGAATGGCAAGCAAGATGCTGCCGCTGCCAGCTTTGCAGGGGGTGTGATTTTTCAGTATGCGGCGCATCGCTATCAGGTTGATCGCTTCCCCCTCAATCCCAAGCATCCCCCAAAGCCCAAAGCCACAAACCCCCAAGCCCTATGTAGTATGTAGACCCTAGAAACCCCACTTCAGGATCTTTCGCTCCGACCCGCCATTCTGATGAGCACGCTGCCGCTACGAGTCGCCGAGGAGAGCAGCACGCAGCACTTCGGGGCTTTTAATTTTGTTTTTTTGTATAGAGTTTGGGGACTTGTGGCAGGGTGTAGGGGCTTGCAGGGTTTAAGGCCTCCTTCGTTTTTTTTTTGGTGGAACAACGCTTGGAGCCCAACATTCCCCGCAGCGTGCGGAGAGGCCGAGGAGGGCGCAGTATAATGGCGTTAACATGCTCGAATTTTGGGTTTAGGGTTTAGGGTTTAGGGACGCCCGAAACCTCTCAGTTCTTCGATGGATGAAGCCACGAAGCGCGCAGAGTTTTTGTTCCTCTTTGCCCCTGCGCCCTGAGCCTCAACCCTCTACGCGCCTGGAAGCTGAAACCCCGAAAAGCTGAATCCCTAAGCCTAAATATGACCTGGCAACACTATCCTAAATCTTCCAGCCTGAAATATTTCTGCGGCCTGGCACCGCCATCCTGGTACTTCCATCGGAACCCCCCCCAGAGCTCATGACCAGGAGCCGACGGTGAGTGTGGTGTGCGTCAGGGCCTAGCGGGGTGGTCTGGGGAGGCTTCCAGAAACCTTGGCGTAAAGAGTAAGGCTGGGTCAGCGAAAGGTTTCGCCAAGTTGCCAGCTTGCATAGCCAATTGCTGAGTTATGCTGAGTTTATGACAGGTTGAGGTGCCAACATTTAGAGCTGTCAGTTCAGTCCCTTCTTCAGGGTGGCAACGCAAAGCGTTTCCTTTACGCTTGTTGTCTTTTTGCGCTCTTTAGAACTCAGCTTCTCGCCGTTTGCCCAGTGTGTTTTTCACACATGTGTAGGGCTAGTTTTGCTGTGTTGGGTCCAGAGAACAATCGGAATGCGTGCACGGGCCAGAGGACTTTGCTTGAGCGTCGTTGCGTGTCCGTGCCATGAAATGCCCGGCTCGCAGGCTGTATGCCTCCTCATATCCGCATGGGGCTTCTTCCTTTCAAGAGACGATTGGTAGGTCCGCCCTGATTATTGCTTTGGGGCGTGGAAGCTGAATTTGGGGTCGCAACCTTACCATGCACTGCAATTCGTGGAGATCCATCGGCTCATTTGCTGTTCTACGGGGTTTTAAGGGTCTACAAGCCCGAATCAGCCTGTGCTCTCTTTCCTCGCCGCGGCCCGCCATGGGGGCTGGAGCAAGCGCGGCAGAGGTAGACACTTGGTTTTGCTGGAACCCCGTATCGGGATCTCGAACCCTTGAGGACCCTAGGGACGGTCTTTTGTTTTCCCTCACCCTGTGGTTACAGCCCATCTTTTCGGACCAGAGCGGAAGACCCTAAACCTCAACCCTAAAACCTAAACCCTAAACCCTAAAACCTAAACCCTAAACCCTAAACCCTAAACCCTAAGCCCTAAACCCTAAACCCTAAACCCTACTTTTTGAACATGGAGCCCGAATGCATAAGGATGTGATGCGCGCCTCCCCGAGCATCGGGGAGGAGCCGGAGGAGTTCAAACGATTCCGGGGAGCGGCTCTGCTGTGATATGGAAGGTTTCAGGATGTTCTTTGTGTAAAGTTTTCAGGGCGTATTTGAGGTTCAAAGTTGTCGCAGGTGTTTTGGTCTTTGGGCTTAAAGTCGACGATGGGATGTCGTGCTCCACTCCAGCTGTGGGAAGGATGTCCACAGCAGTGTCGTGAGCCCGCAAGAGCTCGTAGAGGAGTCGGGTCCCAGGCATTAGTCTCCGGAAGTGCTGGGTGGAATGAAGATGCTGCCCTGAGGAAGCCTAGTAGTTGGGGTTCAGGGCAGCCTCCACAGCTGGGACGGCTCTTGGATGGGTGAAAGAAGAACTCCTGGCAGGGCAGCTTCGGGTGCATTGGATTTCATCTGTTGCTGACGCTTCCATTGGTAAAGGCAATTCAGAAGGGCATCGTGACTTTAGCGGCTGCTGTTGGTATCGGGCTTGCCTTTTTCAACCCTCAAGCCAGAGCCTCAATCCGTGGTACCGTACATCGAAAACCCCCATGGTTCCGAAGCCCAATAGAAACACCTCCCTAAACCCTAAACTCCAAACTCTCGGATTCTTTTGAAGCCTCCAACCCCCTGTACGCATCACGGTTTAGATTTTTTGAGGCGGCTGTTAGCGTCTTCCCGCTTAGGAGAAGCAGGAGTTCTACGCGGGGTCCTGAGATTTGGAGCATGGAACGAGCCAAGCCCTGGGAGTTCCTATTGGTAAGCCCTCCTGAACAAAAACACCTCCGAATATTTGCCTATACAGATCCCTTCGACCCCCTACGAAGCCTGATTTTCAAAGCATGGATCCATGTAGGCGTCAGCAGGCCTTTACGCTGAAGACCCAACCTTGCCTGAACCCTGAGATGCCCAGGGATGTTTCGAGAAGCTGAGGCCGCAGTTGCAGTATACTGGTACCACAGAGCTCGGGCATTCGATGATAAAGCCCGTGCCGCCCACGCATTCGTCGGTCAGACATTGAAAGATTATAACGTCCAACATCCAGAGTTGAGCAAGTCACGAATTATGCGGGCTTGTATTCGTTTGTGCTCCGCCGTATCCTGGTTCTGAGGATCAGACCCTGCGAATTGTTAGCAACAATGACATCAACAAGAAGTATCCAGGCCACATGGACGGCCGGGCATTTGGGTTGAGGGCTCGGAATGTTGGTGGACTTTTCTTGTGACCTGATCGGCATCCGGACCTGCAGATCAACAGCGGGGACTTCCCATTGAGTTCAAAAAATGTCATCTATATCTGCAACTCTGCAACAAATGCTTGTACGGTGTGTGCTGGTGGAAACGTGTCGCGTGATTGCATCTTGCTTCTCCCAACATGCATGTCCTCTCATCCCAAATCGTCGCAGATTCCGGCGTTGGGGCTGAAAGGGTCAAGTCCTCGTGTCTGCATCTGAAGCAGGACATGGCCCCAAGATCGACCATTTCGCAGAGGTGAAGTGCGATCACATGCTGAGGCGAGCTGTTGCCAGGTCTTGCTCGCGTCTGCAAACATGGCATGACGCCTTGGCGTCCTCAGTCTCTGGAGTTCCTCAGTGTGAAGGTTTAAAGATGAATCGACAGACCCAGAGCAGGGTGGAAGACAAGAGACGGGCAGTCAAGATATCGCCGAAATGAATTCTCTAAGCAGTAGCAAATAATTCCTCCGGAGTCTGAAGCTTCACACAGTCACCCTGCGGCAGGAAGGAGCTCGAGTGGACTGACCGGAGCTTCTACAAGGAAATGTCCCGGATGGAGCTGCAGAAAGAAGCGCGTGCCCATGTCCAACTGTTTGTTGGTCTGAGGGGCGTTTGCCCAAGAGCTGGGAGCGCTGATCCGCTTTCCTGCTCTGCAACAAGCGCCGGGTCGTAATGTGGTTGGAAGAGACCTACAAACAAGGGTCGAATCAAGGATCTAAGTAGAGTCATGATTTGGAATTCAGGCCAGGTAGCGGATCGTTTTGTCCAGGGACAAAGGTACATCACGCTTACAGAGCATTCAACGTCTTCTTTGACAGACTTCAGAATAGCACGAAGCTCCTGAACCGGGTGGATGGTGCTTGGGAACACCCTAAATTCACATGCCCCAATATGCCACAACCCTAAATAGTCTCCCTCATAGTCCCCCTCTCCAGGTATTGAGACTCGTACCGCCCTGATGAAGGCGGGCTTCAAAGGATGTTAGTGTCAAAAGGGGAGGTCTTAAGGGTAAGAGCAGGAGTGTTCCAGAGATTTTCGGACAGACTGCAGGCTCTCCGGTGTTCCAGGGACCAAGATTGTGCCAACACTTCTGCAGTCAAGGGTTCTTGTGTTCAGAGTACATCAGGAAGCTTTTCGGGCAGAGCGCAGCCCTGTAGAGACGCAAAGCGTCCCTGAATATCAGACGTTCTGTGACCCATTGGTTCCCTTCAAGAAAGCTCCGGGCCCCACACCTCTGGCTTGTGAGGGAGTTGGCCACCTTCAACCCGTCAAGAATCATACTTGTACCTCCAAGGGCTCAAGGCCCTTCAACCCTTAACACCCTGAAGTCTATTCTAGGCACCGACGGGCCCGAGCATCCCGAAACCCTGCAAACACCAGAGCCCTGGAAGCTCTTAGGCGCAGAAGGCCCTGAGCAACCCACCCGGGCCGATGCGCTGCTGGGCAGCTTCAGATCCTTTTGAGAGTTCCGGATTCAGAGTGCAAAAATACGATCCCAACCCGGAGCCCCCCAACCCGCAAGCCTCTATGCAGTGCGCCCAAAAAGCCCCAAAGCAAGCCGGCTCAAGCCGAATTTATGAGTGGTCCTACACCCAAACGAGTGCCGGCTTAAGAGGAAGGAGGTGAAGTTTTAGCTTCAGATTCAGCAACCGTCGCTCAGAAGTGCCGCAAACCAAGAGCCTTGGAGCATCTGCAATCCTAAGTTCATGTCTCAGTCTCGTGTCCATTCGTGTCCTGCAGTGGACAGGCGGCTTCGTGGGAGATTTAGGATTGGCAAGCAACTGGTGCATTCCTGGTGCATGGTGCATGGTGCACGGACTCCAAGGACGCGCGAAGAGCAGCCGCAGTTCCAGCAGTCCGAGCAGTCCGAGCAGCCCCAGCAGTCCCAAATCGGTGCTTCGCCTGGGCTTCGCCTCGGGTTGCTGGCTTCAGGTTTGGGAGCAGGGCACTTCTAGACTTCTAGCATGGGTCAGACCCTTGCAGTTTCGTGAAATACATTCCTGACCCCTAAAGCTCGCCTCATGTAGAAATGCGCGCGGGCGCCTGGTGGGTGCTCTGTCTGGTTTCTGGCTTGGGGCGTGACCCATCTCTTGGCGCTGAAAGTTTGAGCAACCCTGAGGTGAGCACCTACACCGAAGGTTTGAGCCACACCGTCTTCGAGTTTTTCAATATAAAGCCCTTGAGTCTTTCGTGAGGGTCTGTATTGCACTTCCACCCTTCCTTGACTTGCACCCGTACTGTCTTGCACTAGGTCACTATCAGTTTAAAAGAAGACAATAAACAAGTATGTATGAACACCTGGCCATGGGACGGCCGCAACTGACACTGCATGTGCGGAACCGATCGTTACTTGGTAGTAGGGTTTGATCGCGGCAAGGCAGCTTCTACAAGCGCCTCCCGTCGCACGACGTTCAGTCTCGCCAGTTAGGGGTGTTTCTGTGGCGTGGGGAAGGCGGGAAGTTGAGGCTTGGGAATGTCTTCCATTTCATATGTAGGCTGAGATCGAGTTCCGGAGGCGTGCAAAGGATTGTGGGGGTATTACCACGGATTCCGAAGCCGCTAAGCCTGGTACTGAGTTCAGGTTGAAGTTCTGGAGGTATCTGCAGGTATCTGGAGGTTTCTGGAGGTTTCCGGAGGTTTCTGGAGACTCTCTGGGGAGTTCAGAGGCATTGGCTCCAAATGGCCCGGTTTCGCGCCTCCATAACCATCTCGCGGGGAACGCTCAAACCGAAGCCAAAGGGGGATTCCGGGATGTGTGGGGCCAATTTGGGCCAGTGCGCGATCCTCCCTGCGTGGAGGCCGGACTGTCCTATGTTACCTATGTTTGAAAAAGTGAGGGTGGCCATCAAACGTTTCGTCACTGCGCGAACCGACTTGTCGGCACTGGCAAAGCCGCTAAGCACCCCTGTAGCTGCCACCCAACCCTGGATCAAGCCTACAGTAAACTCCAAATCCCAAAGGCCCTAGTCAAGACAAAGCCTTGCACAGAGCCCTATATAGGTGTGAATGAAATTCGAAGCCCGCTAAACTCCCCATATCACCCTGCAGCCCTACAAGAAGGAACGCTAAGCGAGCACTTGCAATGCCGCGTTGATTCTTGCGATCTTTTGGATCGGAGTCACAACGAGCCGCGCATGAAAAGCCACAGCATGGCACGATCTGCCAAAAAACAATCAGGATCCAGCCGTAACGTTGCTGAGGATCCTGTTGCGGGAGTTGTTACGGAAGCTTTTTTCAAGGCGGCCTTGGCTGTCCTGCAGCCCTGCGCCATGCCGTACTCTTCCCTAGGGCCAAAGCAGCCACCAACTGGGCTGCTGCGTACTTGTGCACATTGCCACGATCTAGACTCCGGTCAGGGACTTTGTTGCTTATGCTTGCGGTTCACTTGGTTGACTTGCGTGTTGCGACGTTGAAGCCTGGGCAGCCTGTCAAATGGTGGCTGTTGGTCCTTGCTGCTTTGGACGAGCCCAAAGACCGTTCTGAAGTTCTTTTCAGTATTTCAACGCCCTGGAGCCACGCGTGCCGTCAGCTTCGTTAGGGATCGCACACACTAGGGCTACTAGGGCCTGATACAAACCCTTTCAGAAAGTTGTTCAGCCAGACCCAGAAAGCCGTGCAATTTCGACCCGGCTCAAGCGCCAACGGCGCCAATCCCTCAGACACAGTTCAGGGACCCCTAATATTTCCCGAGATGCTGAGAAGGTGAGGTTGGGGCTCTGGCATTCCGGAGTTTAATTGAGCCTTCGGTCCGTAGGGGACTTGATGGCGCTAGGCCCGCGAGCTTTGATGCCACGTGTGTCTTTCCCACTCCGGGGACATGAACTACAGGCCTTGGGTGGGATCCCTGAGAACGTCAGGGCTTCTTGTTCGAACATGTGCACTGCCAGCGAAGCCGCCAGCTAGATGTCTGTCAGCTTCTAGCCCTTACAAACCCCATCAGATTCCCCCACTTCCCCAAGACAGTTAAACTCCTGAATCTTTGATGGTCCCACCACAGTTCTGGCAGGGTATCCATGCAGCTCGGGCGGCGATTCTTTGAGAAGCAAAACGGCCTATTAATAAGGCTGCTTTTGAAGAACAGGGATCCCCTCCAGCGCCTGCTTAAGTAGCCGCAGTGGGGCTGCCCAGTTGAAGGAGCAAGGGTATGATGGGTTTTGAGATGAGGACATGACGCAGTCTGTGTTCATGCTTTCGGGCTTTCTTGACAACTTGGGGCTTGCATGAAACCCAAACCCTGAACCCTTGCATGCTTCTAAGATCTGCTGGGCACAACAGTCTTTTTGTTGTCCCAGCTAGGGCCTAAATCCAAGCGCCGGATAGCAGTGAGTCAGCTCAGGCCCAGTGCAGTTTGGGGCTTCATGGGACCGGTGTGGGGGGGTTGTAAAGATCGGCGCTCTGTGGAAAGCTAACGCTCCGGGGAGTTCTACGTCTTCGGCGGTAAGAGAAGTTCACGGAGGTTCAGTTGTGGCTAAAGCCCATGGTCGGCAGCACTTTGCTCCTCGCTGCGGTCTTTTATTTTGCGAGCAGGGCTCGTAGTCTAGCAGTCTCGTCGACGTGTTGTTAGCTCTAGTGCCTTGATCTGAACCAACGTCACACGACTCTGGAGCCGAGGCCTTCGGATGTCTTTACTAGCTAGCTCGTATCGCCGCTGTGAGGCGTAAACGGTAAACTTGCTTGGCATGCTGGAAATGAACCGCAAGCCCCAAGCCCAAAGCCCCTGAATCCTGCGTCCCAACCTGAAATACATCGTCCCAACCTGAAATTCATCGTTATACAAAAAGTTGGTCTTGAATGAACCCGAAGCTTCAAGCCTGCAAACGGTTACCCAGACAATCGAACGGACCAGCTCGACCCGCCACCCTAAACCCTAAACCCTAAACCCTAAGGATCCAAGAGGCATTTGCGAGTTATCGAGGTTGGCCAGTTTCCTCCCCTGGCCTCGAGTGGATCGCCTCCTGGGTATTCGGCTTGTGGACTTACTCATCATAGCACTTGGCACCTACTAACTACGCTGCCAAAGCCTACTGCAGCATACCCAGGGTTTAGGGTTTAGGGTTTAGGGTTTAGGGTTTAGGGTTTTTAACGCTCTTTCGAGCCTAAACCTGACGAGTGCTACGTGGATGTCTTGGATCTCCGCCTAAATGTTCGACGAGCCATGTTCAACACCCCAGCGCCTGCACATAAGTATCTCAAGCGCCCTGAGAAGCAATGAAGAGGGGAGAGCTCATCTGGCAACCCTTAAATTTCTGTGGGCCCCTCAGAATAGTCGAGGAGCTCAACCTTCGGGTTCTAGGTTCAGCAAGATGTGAGAAGCAGGGATGCCAACGCAGTGCACTGCACCTCAAATAGAACTGTGGACGTGTAGAGACATGGAAGCCAGTGAGTTGGCAGTGCTCGAGGGGTTCGCCTTGGACGTGGGGCTCGAAAAGTCTGTCCACAGTCGCTAGAGTCCAGTACTGGTTCAAGCTTGCGTCCAGGACTGGCGATACGTATTCGATGGTACGGGGATGGCATTTTCCCGGCTGCCTTGCCTTAGTATGTCTGCAGGCTCAGAAAGGCGGAGCTGGGCGTCTTCAGGTTGCACCGATTGTCGTTCGTTCTTTTTTTTCCGGGTAGTCAAAGATGGAACCGAGGGTTCATGGACAAGGCAAACACTGAACGTCCCTGATTTGCATGGGGGGAAATGGAATTAAGAGCACACCTCTGCATGCACAACCCTAAAAAAGGCCCTAAACTCTCAATAGTCTATGGCTCTAAGAACCCTGCAACCCTAAGCCCGCCAAGCCCAGAGCGTTTGCCCCAAATCCCGAACAGAAGCGCTTCCTCAGGCTCGGAGTGTAGTTTTCGGGAACACACAAACCAACCCGAAGCTCAAGCTAGAACGGCATAGGAGCCCTGCAACCCTAAAGACTTTAAAGAAGTTTGGGATAAGTGTTGTGTCCTCGGAAACCGACCTTGCTGCACATTGAATCTCGCGGAAACTCCAATGTTGAGATGTCTAATTAGGTAATATATGCACTGGCTCATGCTGTAGTGACCCCGCTCCGCCGACACGAGCACCAAAAGGGTGTGTGCGTACCACCGCATCCCTGAGCCTGAAGAGTGCCTGAAGCTAAACCCTAAAGGGCATGTCTTGGCAAAGCCACCCAGCTGCTTTGGGCCGTGTCCTCTGGGGCTCTGTGCATGTACGAGCACTTTCAAGCAACAGGTCAAGTTCTGGAGCTCTTGAGGTTAGGGTTTAGGGTTTAGGGTTGGGGTTGCCCCGGAGGAGGGGGGGGGGCCTGTCAGACATGGCTCATGCCTCGAGAGCTGTGTTTGCCATGCGCACATCCGGGATGGACGCGTGCAGACACTTGCAGACGCAGTGCTGCCAAGACGTTGCCACGTGACAATGTCGTCGTTTAATCTGCGGAGAGGTTCTGTAGGAACCCTGATTGACGACACATGCTCAGGTGGTCTGCGCACTTACATTTAAGTGCAGTGCGCATATACGTTTCCTGCCAACAGCCACGGGCAGTTTCACGTGGGTAACGGCGCCTAGCCTTCAAGACCACAGCTTACAAAGGATGAATTACACATTTACAGCCATCAACTAGACATATGCACCCCCCGCCACCCCACCTTCATGATGTAGGTTTCTGACTCTACTGATTGCTTTTGAGAACCTCCTTAAAAAAGGAGCTATTTCTTCTAAGGGTGGTATAGGCATGATGACGACTGTTCTTAAGCCAATAGTAGTCTTCTCAGAAAGATGCTGCAGGCTAAAGTTCACATGTGGTGTTGTAATTTCCCGTTTGTTCCGGCGCGATGTGAGCCGCTGAAGTGCACTGATTGGGGGGGAGGGGGAGGGGTGTTGGCCATCTCCCGTGCTCTGGACTTTCTCTGATCATGAACCGATGAGCGTACATGTTTGCAGCGGTAGCACCAACCTGACCACTCTTGACCTTCTCTTCGGCAGACATGTTGTTTCAGCATGGGTCAAGTTTGCTTTGTTCTTGAAGTTTCCCCGTCCTTTGACCACACGAATGCAATGCCTTTGCTGCCTTTTGTCTAATAAAGAGTATTCGTATGCTTTGGTGGGAGTTGGGTTCCCAGCGTGCATGGTCTACCTCTTCTACCTTCTTTCCTGTTGTCAGCTACCCACAGCAGAAAACGGAGCCCTTTGCTGTTGTTTTCCTCCTTTTGGGGGGACTCCTTGCCGAGCAGGGGCAGCTCTCCAATAGAAGCCACCACGATCTAGAGTCTTAGATCCGTCATACCATACCAGAAGCTCTCGCAGCCAAAAAAAGGGGAGAGCTAGCGCGCCCGCGCGCTGAGGCTGCATCCTATCTGTACCTGTATAAGACCCTTTTCTGCTGTCCATGCTGCGCACCAACTCTGTGCTTGGGAACGCTGCTTTGTTGGAATTCCGTTCTTCACCCCCCAAAACCGGAAAGATAGCCTGATGAACTAAAAATGGCGGCTTGAAGGATCATAAAGCCAGAAGCCGAAGAGTTTATCTTCAGATTTAGTTGCATTAGAGTTAAACGCAAGTCTAGGCGGGAACAGGAACATCCTTGTCAAGACATACAAGGTTTGGCTAGTTCGAAGCTCTAGGAACCTACTGATAGCTACTGAACACAAGGTTCTAGCATGCCCCAATCATCGGATTCAAAAAGGCAAATCAGCCTTTCCGGGCCCAAACCCAAACCCGCTTTGGCCCCAACCCTTTCTCAAACATGTGCCTGAGCTAAGGCACGACCGCTGCAGGGTCCGCCAGGCTGGCGTAGCTTGGATGCTGTTGGCTGTTGCGTGCTGCTGCTTCAGTTTCAGGCTTGAGGATGTTTGTTGCTTTTGGGCCGTGAGCTGTTGGTCTAGACGGGTAGACCTACGATATCCTACGGTTCTACTGAGTAGACCTGCCTAACTCCGATATGGGATCCGGTGCCCAGGTCGTGCCATAGCACTGCAGTCACTGGGGGCACAAGCTCTCAGCGCGGCCGCCCGGGCTCCCGGATGGGACGAGGGATCAAGCGCGGTTTGGGCACGGAAGTAGCCCAATGGGCTCCATTTACCCAAAGCATTTGTGCCCACACGGTGGTTTCAAGGCTGTTCGCGCATGTTTCTTGCTTGGTGTCGTGTGCAACTTGAAACCCTAAATCACAAACTAACACCCAACCCACCAACCCACCATGAACCACGGTCGAGGGGGAGAGGGGTACCAGCCCAGGAACATATATGGGTGCGGAGTGTAACATCAAGAGCCTTCGAACCCCAGGACTGCTACACGGTGCTGCACATCTAGAATCTCAGCAATCTCAGCTGCGCATAAATAGTGCAGGTGTACCAGCTCTTGGTGAATTTCACCTCGGAAGGCCAGAATGCTTCAAGCAGTGATGCTTTGCAGGCGTGTTGCTTGTTAAGAATGTCCTTTTCCGAGGCCGATGAAAATTTTGACTTCCAGGACCTTAATTAAGAGCCCCCTTCTTAAAGGCAACCCCCTTACTGGTTCTTGGGAATTGGGACGAAGGGCGCCCGATATTTCAGGGGCATGTACGTTGAGAGGGAGAGCCTGACAGGGTGATTCAGCGTTCCAGGTTTAGGAACTGAAGACTTTTGCGCTTTCAAAGCCCTGAACCTCCCAAACCCATCAACCGAAGAACCTTTGGGGGACTCCATTGGACCCTAAACCCTAAACCCTCAACCCTAAACCCCAATCAAGACCATTAAGCTTAGTTGGGGGAGTCCCTCAAAAAACCCTTGGAGGCTGCACCCAAGAGGGCGTCGAAGCCGAGGCCAGTAGAGTTGGCGTGTATTGGGTCATCTCTCGGCTGTTCACTGGGGCTCCAGTGGAGTTTGCCTCATTTGCCAATACCTTGCAGGCTTAGGCCGGCTTAGGACCTTCCCTTGTTGTGAGAGGATGATCTGTTTAGGACAGTGTTTGAAGGGATTCGCCCGGCCAACCTGACTCAGCACCGTACTTGACGAATACCCTGGCTCCCAAAGCTAGGGGCACCTCCCTGACCAGCGCAGGTTCTGGTGCCACGCCTTCTGCTCCAGGCACAGATCGGGGGGATGTAGGATGCATCAGTTCCGGGTGTGGGCACCATCGCCCGAAGACGCCATGACCGAATGGATACCGATACCCCTCCAAGCCCTAGGCCGAAACAGGCCATTTCTAAGTTCGTTCAGGTTTTGGTGTCGGGTTTGCAGGGTCTTGCTGATGGGGGTGAGAGAGCTTGGCATATAATCGGGAAAATTCAAGCTCGGTGTATCGACGAGCGTCCATAAGAACGAAGCATCAGCAAGGACTGTACAAGTCAATGAGCAGAAAACGCCACTGACTGCCAGATCCGACGAGAATGTACGTAAGTAAGTAGACATCACACCAACACGGCGTACACACACACACACAGAGACACACAAACACTCTGAAGGATTCGAGCGCCACATCCTCTGCTGCAAAGATGCAAGGTAGGAACTTCATGACTGGAAACATGGAGGGGCGGGTTTGATGTCGATGCTGGATGCCCGAGGTGTGTGGATAGGAAGCACCTGCTGTGTACACAAACACAAGTTAGAGACTCACCAGCTGTGTCACCGACACCAGGCCGAGCAATACTTTGCAGGTACAGAAACTGCGTCGAGCTTCCATTGGCTAGGGAAGAGACCGTCGTGTCCCCAACGATGTCAGAGGATTTGACATGGATATGGTTGTGCACACGGAGGTTCTGTGAACATGGAACCAGACAAAGCCCCAAGACCAAGAATCGTGAAGCGCTTATGAGCTGACCACCAAACCGCTCGCACAAACAACAGGTAGGTGTGTGCCTGTTTTCGGCAAACGCGTGTTTGAGGTTTATACCAGCTTTTTCAGCAATCGCCATAGGACGTGTGTACTGCGATTGACATCGCTAAGGCCGCTAAGGCTATGCTAGTGTTACTTGCTGCTTGCTCATTTGTGACTTGTTTGTCATACTGTCTGAACTGGTTGTTCCGCTTATGTATACTCATGAAAATACCAGCAACGCGAGGCTTTTGGTCGCCTCATACATCCAAGGAACGACGGTCGCTACCTTTTGTAACCAGAACAGCAAAATCAAACACAGGTGAGAGGCGCCAAAGACTGCGAGGTGGCGTGTTCTCCTCGGCGCTTGAATCGGGGGGCAAAGGGGGGTTCTGTGGATTGGGGGACTCCCAGAGAGAGTTCGGAGGTAAGGTTGCACACCCGCATCATTCACATACGAGGTTGGACGACTGAAAGTTGCCAGCCGCTTTACCCATTCATGGTTCACTACACCTCCTACAGCCAGTGCGCAGGGTACCTTCACATTGAGGCCCCAAGCACTGGCCTCCATGTTTCAGCCCAAACAACAAGCCGTGTGTACTTTCAATCAAACTAGAGAGTGCTCTTTGGACTTTCGACCTGTGCTCGGTTGACGCCTTTGACGAAAGAACGTCAGCTTCCGATGGTGCATTGGTTCGCCCTGCTTGCCCTTTAACTGATTCTTGAAGCCTTTCGACACAACACAGTTAATGCAGATGAGTTACTGGTCAGAGGTACTGACCGCGAACTGACTCTGAGGTGCGGTGTCCGCATGACTGGGCGTTTGGAGGTGGGCACCGGCAACACCGACCCAAAGAGCACCCGAACTCCAAGACCATCCGTGGGGCCCTGAAACCCCTGAAATCCCAAAAAGCCCCTCATAACCAAACTGCAGCCCATGGTGGACCATTGGAGGGGAATGGGCTAGGGGTGCGCGACTTCGTCCTCGGCTTCTTGCCCATGAAGAGGGGCAACGCGCCTTTGCCCCTAGAAGAACTGGTACCATTCGGGGGCAGCTGCAGTCCCCACAAGCACCAGAAATCGAGCACCTCGACAAAACTGCCACATGAACCTCTGGTCCCGGGCACAACCTAGCTGGACACCCCCCGACCCGAATTTCTCTGGGCTTGTATGCCAACCGGGAGGCGCAGCTGCCTCCCACCACTTCTTCGGGACCAGGAGGGCGAAGGGTCCGTCTCAAAGGGCTAAGTCTTCAAGGGCGGCTGCTGGTTTCCCCTTGCCCCCTTTGTAGTTCCTGAAAAAGGGAGGGGGGTCTAAGGAGGCGCGTAAGGAAATTTCCGGGAAATCAAGAAACAGCAGCTGCTCCCAAATCACCTCCTAGGACATCCTATATAGTCTTGCCCTCAAAGCAATTTAAGCTGAACCCTGACAGTAAAGTCTGACACCGAAGGAATGAGGGTTTATGGTTGGGGCTGAGAGGCTTTGGGTGCTGGTAAGGCTTCTGAAGCATCGAAAGCGCCTTTCAAGTTTCTGAAGATTGGCCAGGTGAGTACGGCCCTGAAATCGCAATCGAACCCAAACAAGACTCCGAGAGCTGCGCAAGGTTCGGCAACCCTTGCCCCCATACAGGGCTATGCCAGCCTTACTAGCTCTTAGCAGGGAATTCGCAGGCTAGGTGCCGTAATCTCTTACAGAGTACAAGGATGAATGATTCCATGTGCCTATTTCCCGAAATCCCTCCCCACTAAGAACTAAGTACCCTGCACTTACCGAGCCAAGTCCCGCAATGTGTGCCTTGCAGGGCGTGAACGGGACGAGGCCCGACACTGAGACTCCTGCGGCGCTATTTTTGTCTGTTTACATTCCAGGCCGTGACCAAGGGCTTGCGTTCCGTCTCCGCAGTCTCTGTCAAATCTGCAAGTTTTTCTAAGGCGGCTAGGGGGGTTGCGTCTCCTGTGCGGTTGTGGTGTCATCTCACGTGTTGCCTTTTGCCTTCGCTCCAGACTTGCACCACACATGTTGTCTCTCTGAATGCCTGTTACGTGCCAATGCCTTCTCAAGACTGAACCCCCCAAACCCGAAATCCTAAGACACCCCAATCCCGAAAGCCCTTAAACACTCCGCTGTTAAAAAACCATCTTCTTCACTTCATGGAAGTGCCCGGTACAGCTCCAGCTCAGCGCTTTGACGCCGCCACACTGATGGGCACAGATCGACGAAAACTGCCGCCTCGAACAGTACAACCTGAATTTTCCCTGTGGCTCTTATGGATCCAGCGTGGCCCGACGACGAATGTGGTGATTCCACAAAGAAGTCAATCACCAAAAAGCGCCACAATCGACCGTCGTCATGTTCGAAGGCATTCCTTTCGGTAAACCAAACTGTGTTGCATTCACCTGATCCCAACAGAGACTTCAAGAAATTGCCAGAATTTGGAAGGAGCCCGAGCTCGATGGCACCTGCCGCACGGAAGTGGATTCTTCAGGCACGTGGTACTTGAGGGAATGGGGCGATGAGTGCTAGCATGTCGAGGGTCATCTTGAAAGTGTGGTTCTTCGGGTGCTTTCACCAAACCTCGAGCAACGGCCACGGTACTTGTCTCCATTGTAAATCTACGGGCTTCTGGCGGAACTTCTCTATCGATGATCCAAACTCGGAAGAACTTTGGATGGGTTGTGGCACGAACTGCTTGGGGGCAAGCGGCAAGACTTCAAGTTATCGGTGGCAATGAAGAGGGAATTGGTCAATCGCACGCTGGTAAACCTACAGTGAGTTCACTAAACCCTTGAAAAGCCTGACCCTCTGCTGTAGACTGCAACACCCCAACACTTCTCGAGATCTCAAGAGCAGACTGAGATTCAAGAGCATCCAGATCCTTCGTTTTCTCCTCAAAAAAGAAGATGTGTCACCGCGGAGTTTTTTGTTTTGCGCTGTTTGGGTTTACGCTTGGGGTGCAGGCTCCAGCAGCGGAACGGAGACGTTGGCCGAGGAGGACCTAGTTTGGCATGATTTGAAGATCGACGAGAACGATGAAGAACAAAGGCTCTTGCGTAAGGATGCGGTTTAGGTCCTGTAGGGTTTTCTGGGGTGCTTTACCCAATTTGGACAGGCCTTTACAATCAGAGCTCCGGAGAGTTATTCCAGGACAACCCACATCAGCGTTGAGGTTGAAGTTGAGGTTCGACTCAGGGAGTTGAAGGTGGAAGATGACCCAACCCTGGGCGTTAAGCAGCTTCAACTTGGTGGAGTTTGCCCTGTTAATTCCTGTTTGCCTGGTGGAGCCTTCTCTCAAGGACGGCATCGACTGGTCCTCGCCCTGGCCTAAGGGCTCTGCGGGTGGTGTTTGCGGACTCGGTGCCCTGCCCCTTGGGGGATTTTTGACAGATAAAATCCCCATTCATATCCCACAAGGAGCTGCGCAGGAAGAGCTCCGATACGGCTACTGTCAGTTTAGAGTCTGCTCTCTGCGTGTAATTTGCTTTTGACAGGCTCGGCTCATGCAGATGGCAGAAGAAAGTCTAGTACCGGATCGAATAGAATACATGTCATATTCGCGCTTTAGGAGATTTTACACCACTCAAAATCGAAATCTGCTTGACAGGTGCTCGCGGGCCCTAGACCCTAAACCCTTGCTTGTCGTTGCATTTTGATTTCTAGGAAGAAGAACAGAAACTGTATTGACGATCCCAAAGGGAGAACACTTGAGGGCACGACATGTTCCATCATCGTGTAAGAAGCTTACACTATACACCTTGTGCATGGACAACGAATCCTGAACTTAAGCTGACAAAAGGAACTAAACAACCCGGAGGGAGGACGGGGGGGGTGGGGGGGCGAGGATGATGGGCTGCAAGAATGGTGGGTGCAGCGCCTAAGCACCGTTAAGACAAGCATGTTTTGTGACAAGTGCGTTTTGTGGCCAGGATCTTTATGAAACGCCCTCAGCGCCTTTAAGCGTCTTGGCCTTCTGTTCGGACAAGCGCCTCTTCCCGCACAGAAGTTTGATAAAGCGCCTGCAAGCACCTGGGAGAGATTCTAAACGTCTTCACGCGCAGCCGTGAAGCCCCGTTGTTCAGCACCTCTTGGAGTGCTTCAGAGCGTCTTAAGCGCCGTCCAGAAGCGCGGCGTTGTATCAATCCCCCAGGGCGATGCGAAGCCTTGCCGGGATTTCTGATGATTCGAGGCTTGAGAGGCTGAAAAAAGGGGCACCAAGTCGACACACCAAGAGAAGGTTCAACGGAATGGAGGCCTAGAGGCTTAAAGAAGTTCCAAGAAGCGTTCCCGGAAGAGAGGCTCAGAGGCTGGACACAAATTTGCAGCCCAACCGTATGATTTTCGTTCATGGCAAACAATGGGAAATCTACATCTGCAGCTTCGAAGGGCTTGAAACTTGCTGCCTACTGTATTGTGCCCTTGTTTCATGGCGTGGTCATGACAAGTTTCCCGCTTGCACGGTGAATCGCGGTTCGAATGGTGCAAAGTCCCCAGAGACAGTTATTCGTTCTTTGATTGATGGGGCTTCTTGGTCCCTAGAAACATTGAGATGAGCAGCGATTCATCGTATTTAGTGATTGGTTTGTCGCTTGTCATTTCAGCTTCGATCACTCCGGCTTCTTGAACATCTCAGTAAACAAGCAAAGTACACAGCACGCCACACATAGCACTACACCAATGAGCTGTTGAGCTCAAATGCCTCTCTTCTTCATATTCGTCCATGTGCTACTCAAAGTTCATCTTCCTGATTCTTTGCACTTTGTTTGGAAGATGAATTTCGTTCCGCGCTCCTTACGGGTAATGCTACCCATGGGTGATCACAATCTTGCGATCTTGCAGGGAGGATGCAAAGGTTAGGGTTTGGAAAATGTTGTAAGATGAAAGCTGCAGATTGTATAGAGTGTATAAATCTAGGTTTGCAACTTGTTTGTCCTGTTGAGGTGGGTCTACCATGTCGATGTGCAAGAGGCTAGCTGCGCGACACCTGACCAGGCGAAGCGTTGCGGGCCTAAACACGAAGCGGCAGACGCTCCCTCAGAAATCCTCATTGCCGCGTCCCTTCTGACGCTCCAAAGCACAACCAAGCAGTCTCTCGGTGCACTGCCCCGATACTAGATGCGCACCTCACGAAGCCCCTACCTCTATCCCCCTTGGGAATCATTCTTGTTCACATAATGTTCTAGTCGATTCTAACCCCGGGGTTCGGAGTCCCGAGCTTGCATCAAGCTCCGTTCGTTAGGGTCCGTAGGCCTAGACGCGGAAGAGCTTCGTTTCGTGCGAGATGCCGTTGAGGGTGTGTTATCCAGGATCGCGTTCATGACACCCAGGGGAGGGGGGCTGGGTGCGTGGGAGAATTTTCTCATTCACGCTTTGAGGGATGTCCCAGTTCGCGCCTTGCAGTTTGAAGGCGGCAGTTGGAAGGTTGGTAAGGTTTCGCAAGTGTTGGGGATTTGGGCTTAGGGCTTTTGGGGGGCACGTCTGGGAGTTGCGTTTTTAGAGGGTTTCGGCTTCCCACCATCCGACTGCGGATGCAGGGTCCACCCTCGCCGCTCCCGACTGCAAGGCGACTCGGAATCAGACTGTCCTACGAGAGCCTAAGTAATCGGAAGTTGTATTCCCAAACCCACGTGGGTTTGGCCGTTGCTTGGGGGCCCAGGTCTGAGAAGGGCACACGGGTTGCACACCCTCGAAACATACCCCGAAACATACGCCCGTAACATACCCCGTAATTAACATACCCCCGCAATGGCAGGTAAAGTAGGGCACGATGCCGCGAGACATACCCGAAACAAACCCCCGAAACATACCCCGAAACATGCCCGCGAAACATACCCTGATCCCAACACCTGTCGCCGGCCCCCCCCCCCCCCTTATCGAACAAACCCATGTTTGGTTAATATCGAGCCCAAAAACTTGATTAAATGTTACGAGGCTCAGGGCGCCACGGGGTTGGTTTAAGATTCCTGGGTGTTTTCCTCGGGGCTTTCAAGACTTGAGGTATGGGAGCGAAACGCGGGAGAACCGCACGTGGCCGTACGCAGAATTTCTGTTGTGACATAGCCCTGTGGGGTTGCAATCGCATAAGGTTGGCAATGTTTGCCTGGGAGGCAAGTCTCAAACAACAAACGCATAAACGAGTGCTATAGACTATGGAGCCTCTGCCCCTTGAAGCCTGTGAACCTTGAGGAAGCCGGCCAGTGCCAGTCCGGGTCGCCCCATCGCGACGCCAAAATCACCGCGGGCCGGGCGCCCGACGGCTGGAGCCAACTCCCAACAGTCCCAAGAGCATCCCGAAACTGTCCCAAAACCTTGAGAGCTTTGTACTGGTAACCCTGAACCTATCAAGACACGTTATGCCCTGTAGATCCCAAACTCACTTTCGGACACGGGCCACATCCCCATCCGATCGATGGTCTTTGCACAGCTATCTAGGGTCCAAGATGAGTTGGTCTGCCAGGTCACAGAATATCACATGCGTTCCCCGATTGGCGAAATGCCTTTTCCCCGTTCCCACCCCCATGTCTCGTGGTGCATGGCATGCCTCGCCCCACACCTGGTATTCGCCTCCATACTTCATGACTTTCGGAAGGCAGGTTGTCGCATTACAACTCCAAAGCCCCAAGCACGCGTATGACAAAGAAATCACAAGTCCATCCCTCAAGAATGTAGCATTCTCAAGGGCCGAGATGAGTCTTCAGGCTGCGGTCGAGGTTCAGGACATGAGACGTAGGATTAGCTTACTAAGGTCAGAAACGATAGCACATTCAGCTCCGGTGGACGATCCACGCTCGCAGGGATGCAGGGCAGATTCAACTTTCGACATCACCCCCCCCAAGTAAAATGCGGGAGTCTGAGGCCTGTCGTCAAAGCCCGGAAGTGCCTCTCCTTTGCAAGGCCAAGACTCGCCTTAAGCCCGGGAGCAGGCGGAGCCCCCCAAGGCTTCTCTTCTTGGGGGCTTTTGTTTGTTTATAAAGCTTCGGGTGTTCAGGGCATCGGCGCGCCGAACTCCGCCCTTGCAGCTCAAGGAATCCAGGAAATTCCAGGAAGCTCCATCCCCAGTAGCTCGCTTCTCCCTGGTGCTTCGTTTTTGGAAGCCCGCGCTTTCCCATGGCGATCGAGGGGGAGAAGCGAGAGGAGCAGGGATATGCGACTTTGCGGTCTTGCGGTAAGGGCGTCAGGGCGTCAGCACGAGGTCCACCCGGCTGAAACGTCGTTCAATGTGCCCACCTACAGTCGTGAGACTCACCCCAATACCGAAGTATACGTGTGGCAAAGGTCGCAGGAACTGCGCCCTATTCCCGTGCAGTTGCCATGCCCGCAGCCTTGCATGTCGCGGATACCTGGAGGATCCTGACAACTTTGGCCCGGCTAGGGTTTGGGACGGCTTCAGGGCTTGGGGCAGTTTAGGGTTCTGTGTACTTGGCAAAAACCGCGGGGCTTCTCTAAACCCTAAGCCCCAAACCTTGAACCCTAAGCCCTAAACCAGGTGGTCCTGGCTTGTCAGGAGCAGAAGCCGGCCGGCGGCTATGCAGCTGCCAAGGAGCTGCCTGCAAAGGAGGAGGCGGGAGCCGGAGTACACCTGCAAGTTAGGCTCCAACAGCTTGATACACTTTAAAGCCTGAAAGTTTGGAGTTGAGAGGGGGCTCTGTAACTCCGAGTGCTTGAACCGTTTCGCTTTCAGGTTCGGGCCGACAAACTCTGCAAAACTCTGCAGAGCGAAGGGCCCCCGAAAGCCCTGCCAACTTCCTGAACTTCACGACCCTTTGATGCCACGAAGGTGACCAGCGTCGCTGGCGGCACTAAGCGCATCCGGCCCCTTGGACACAATCCTGAAAGTTGAGGATTGAAAAAGGTCGAACATAACTTCACACCTAAACGCTTCACCTAAACTCCAAACCCTGAGCCCCCTGGACCCTAGAGAGACTGGCAGGTTGACCCTTGTGCGCTGCAGAGAGACCAGAGAGGCTTAGGTTCCAAGACCTACCAGGACCTACCACAAAAACGGCCACTGGCAAAAGTGCAAAACAAACGCCGGGCTTTTGTGTGTTCGCGGTTTGGGACTGTTTGGGGTTGAGGGGTGAGGGTTGACTCGGCGCAGAATCGCAAGTCCTCAGCCTCAACCCAGCTACAATTCCAGGTCAAAGTACACGGTCAACCCTGGCTATTCACCTGTGGCCGACTGCTTCTGTGTCCGCTTCTCCCCGGATGATCAGCTGCCCTGGCGTGTTTTCAAGCTCCCCAGACCCCAAATCTCCAGGCCCAATCCTTGAAACTTCCGACGCACACAAACCTGCGATATGATGTACAACATATGCAAAGATACCAAATGCAATCTGTATATACAGATGGTCTCTCTACATACATGCGTACATACATACATACATACATACATACATACATACATACATACATACATACATACATACATACATACATACATATATATATATATGTATGTATGTCTATATTCTTTACTTGCACTTTATTCTTGTGCAGCCCTTATACGTGCCCTATGACATAAGATACAATATCAGCAGTCGCTTTGAGGTTTTTGTGCTTCAAAGTTCCAATATTTTTGCAACTTCCGTAGGAGCTCAGGTTTTTGGGGTTGAGAGTTGAACAACTAGGTGGCGCTCCGGTCCGCATGAAATCATTGGGGAGACGGAAGCTCGAGGAATGTGATGTGCCTACCTGAAGGTTGTAATCATGTTTCTCAGAGAGGCGTGAACTTCTTGGTGCTAACTGCAGCATGGCATGAGAGCTCCGAGGGTTCCAGCCTCACCACACCCGGCCAGGTATCTGGCCACATCCTTTGCGAATGGAGCGATTCACGTCTACAGCGCAGAGACAGGCACCTCGGGGGCAGGGTATGCTTTCTAATCGGGAGCTTCAGCCATGTGTCTTGCAGCTCACTTCAGAAATCGATCCCTCAGCAGGGCATCTCACCCTTTGGCGCAGGGCCCAAGGTGGAGAGTCCTGCTTGTCGATGCAAGAGCTACTGCGTAATTCCTCCACATTCACGACCCACCACAAGGCTTCAATCTTGCAAGTGGCCCCTCCATAATTATCGAACCCCTACCCGGCCCCTTACAAGTCTTGCCAGCATAGGCCCCAAACAGTCGAAAGCCACTTCAAGAACATTCCAATAGAGCACCCCAAGACCACTGTGGACCACTCCGTGACAAATTTACGAACACTCGGCGCAAGTGCGGGGTGCGCACTGGGGAGTGAGACGCAGTCAATTTCTTCGCACCCGAGTCTAAAGCGTGTGGATTGGGCAGTCGGGCGGTCGCCGGGGGGGGGGGGGGGGGGGGGGGGGGGGGGGGGGGGGGGGGGGGGGGGGGGGGGGGGGGGGGGGGGGGGGGGGGGGGGGGGGGGGGCGTGGTCTTTCGCCAGAGCGGCCTTTCGGTGTTTCGGGTCTTCAGGGCTTTTTGCGGTGTCCTGTTCGCGCCCGCATTTTTTCATCCTCACGCCAACCAAGCCACCCCTCACGCCTATCCACTTGCGGAGCCTCGTACTGCCTCTGACACGATCAAAAGCTCATGAAAAGGGTGCAGATAGTGGGTTTCGGATGTGCCTCAGCCTGTTGAGAGCCCCAGTCGCCGCAGGACGCCAGGAGCGCCTCAGCTTCATTGGGTTTGAGGCTTGTCGGTCCCTTTGTAGATGCAAAGGAGGGCTAAGTCTAAGTCTTGGCTCGCACATCCCAAGGACCCTAATTACTGCATGAAGGCTTTTGCATATCTGTTGGTTTGGGGTCGGAGGGTCAAGGTTGTTCGGAAGTGCATACAGGACCATCGCCTCTACTTTTCTTGGGAGTTGCTGCACCTGGGTGCGGCTATTGTACCCGAAAATCCCTTAAGCGCGTTGATTTTGGGGACAAGAAGGCTTAATAGCCCATCCTGGTAGTATGACAAGGTTTGTGCTGAACAGCACTCCGGCGAACACAGAGCTCTCTGCCACGCCCGTGCCCCTGCATCCGGGTCAAGGGTCTTGTGTGTTTTATCCGAGGTGTTCCGCACCCTCCCTAAACTGCCCCAAAGCCTTGTGATTCAGGGTTGAGCAAAACATGGATCCAAGCACCAGGGGCTTTTAAAGGTTTCCAGAATGTTAAAGGGAGGTCTATTTCTTTTAGGGTTTTTTTTTGTTTTTTGTCCTTGCTACTACTGGTACTACTACTACCCTAAACCCTCAACCCTCAACCCTAAACCCTAATCCCTAAACCCTAAACCCTAAACCCTCAACCCTCAACCCTCAGCCCTCAGCCCTCAGCCCTCAGCCCTCAGCCCGCAGCCCGCAGCCCGCAGCCCTCAGCCCTAAGCCCTAAGCCCTAAAGCCCTAAGCCCTAAGCCCTAAAGCCCTAAGCCCTAAGCCCTAAGCCCTAAACCCAAAACCCTAACCCTAAACCCTCAACCCTCAACCCTAAACCCTAAACCCTCCTAAACCCTAAACCGTAAGCCCTAAACCCTAAACCCAAAAACAAAAAAAAACCCAAAAATAAACAAAAAAATCCTAGTTTAATTCTCCGGCGATTTTAAAGGTTTGGAATCCACAGGCTTCGCCTGGATATCCTGTGAGAGTCAGCCTTAGACTGTTGGGAGCCCGATCGCTGTGTAGGCGTCTTCATGTTAGGCCCCATTGCTAAGGGTAAACGGAACACGTGCCGAAAAGGCCTCTGCCGACGACGCAGTTGCGTTGGAGGCGCGGCATATCGCGGCATTCCATCGGAGTGGTTTGCTTCGCATTGTGAGGACCTGTCCCACCTTGCCGACTACGGCCCCTACTCCTAACTACTGACTGCCTGCGCACCTACTGCTACCTAGAATATTGCCCGCTGCTGCTTGAGCGTATAGTGCCACAGTAATACGATGAGTTTTTCTAACTTTCACTCTGCCAGAGCTCTTCACAGTCGTTCACCGAGTCCTTCCCCTCCCCCCTCCCCAAAGCCTGCGGGGCATCTGGCAGGCCGCACGGCGCAGCATCCAAGACCCAAAGTGCCCGTGCACTCAGTTGCAGTCCGCTGCTGTCAGCTCTTTTCGGTCCTAAACTGCGGCTCCATACCCACAGGGGGGCGGGCATTGATTATGAATTCGGGCGGAATCGCCTGCAGCTTTCAGGCTGATGGAGACGGCTTCATGTTATGGGTTGGGCTTGAAGCAGAGTGGGATCGCGACATCCGACGTATGCCCAAAGTAGAGAGGGCTCAGTAAAGTACTGTAGCCTCAAAGGGCGGTTCCTTCCGAG